AAGTTTATGGGTTGGAGAATTTGGATTTTCCGTCAAAATGGGCCGTGACACGATTTCCCAGGTGACAGTCGAGACGGATGCGTCTCGCTCTCGCGATGAAAGTCCCAAGGGCGGAGAGAGACTCACAGTCAACGAGAACCATGTACTTCAAGATCGCAAAATTGGAGTGCTGGGTGCCATCTCTCTGGTCGTCAACAAGATAGTTGGCGCTGGGTAGGTCCATTGTTCCCTCCATTCACTCCGCCATTCCGATCTAGATATTGTCAGTTGCTAACGGCGAGTAGAATCTTCTCTACACCCTCAACTATCTTCAAGCTCTCTGGCAGTGTGGGCTTGTCGCTGATTCTCTGGGTGGTGGCCGGTATCATCTCCGCCTGTGGTGCCCTGGTGATGCTGGAATTCGGCAGCGGGATGCCTCGATCGGGAGGCATCAAGGTGTATCTGGAGCGATGCTTCTCTCCGAAGCAGATGCAGACTTGCATCTATCTTTTCTTCTGTTTGTTCTTACAGGTCTCTGCAAGCAATGCAATCACTGCTTCGGAGTATCTCCTGTCTGCTGCTGGGGTAGACTCCACGACCTGGAAGGAACGAGGGCTAGCAATAGCGGCCGTATCATTTGCTGTCGGCGTCCACACCTGTGCTCCCCGGCTCGGGCGCGCAATGCAGGATTTGCTGAGCATGGTCAAGCTATTCACATTACTGTTTATCGTGTGTACTGGATTCGCGGCTTTGGCTGGCCATAGGCGCATCCCCAACCCTCACAATTTCGACCTGAAGACATCCTTTGAAGGCACTTCGAAGAATGGATATGACATCGGTACGGCTCTGCTGGATGCGATATTTTCGTACCAAGGGTACGATAATGTGAATGCGGTCCTCTCTGAGGTAAAAAACCCGGAACGCACCCTCCGCATCGCACTCCCATCGGCCATGGGGATCATCACGGTGTTGTACGTTCTCGCCAATGTCGCCTATGTAAGTTCTGCCCCCAGCTGAGGTATACTCAGGATATGGTGACTTATTTCTCTTTCTCATTCCAATAGTTCGCTGGTGTGTCCAAAGAAGAATTCCGATCAGCCAACGTCACGATTGCTGCCAGCCTATTCCGCAATGTGTTCGGCGAGACAGCCGCAACGCGAGCCCTTCCCGCTCTCGTAGCTTTGTCCGCTATCGGCCACTTGTTGGGAGTCGCGTTTGTCGTCCGTAAGTTGATTTTCCCGTTAATTCCATATGCCTGTTCGGCTAAAATTCTTTGATCCAGCACGCTTGCTGCAAGAGTTAGCGAAAGACGGCATCACCCCATTTCCAGACATCATAATGCAGAACCGACCGTTCAAGACCCCGATCGCAGCACTATTCGTGCATCTCTGCGTCACGATTCTATTCATATGTGCTCCACCAGCAGGGGATGCATTTTCATTCGTCGTCGGCCTTTCCTCATATCCCATGTGCGCCCTGTTGACAGCCATTACGGTGGGTCTGGTGAAGATGCGATTCACCCCATCCGAGGGGTGGTCGTCGTCCTACACTGCTCCATGGCCGGTCATTTTGTTCTACTTGGCCGCCAATGTTGTAAGTTCACTTCGCTATCCTAGCTTTGATATGTCAATGTACTAACAGAGACGGTTTGCAGTTCCTCTTGGTCATGCCGTTTGTTCCGCCCAATTCGAGCACATCGAGTATCCCGTATTGGCTGAGTCCCGTAGTAGCTTTGGGCATTCTTGGGCTGGGTGTGATATATTACCTGCTACGATTCGTTCTGTCACCGTGGGTGTTTGACTACAGTCTGCGTCCAGTGACCAAGGATTTAACTGACGGCTCGCGGGTCGTGCGCTATCGTATGCAGAGGAATAGTCGTCGCGAAGGGACTGTCGAAATATCTTACTAATCATGCTTTGACGGAAGTGTTATTGGCATAGAACGGTTCAGATTAATCCCACGACCTTGTCTCTAATATGATGGAGAGTTTATATATAAACACTTGATATGTTGTAAGTTGAAAGCGCAGTTTCATTTGTGGTGCTGAAATAAGCATTATCATCGGGATCTAGCCTATGCTACCACCACCGCAACAGGGGGGAAGGAAGAAAAAGAAAAAGAAAAAAGAAAAAAGTATTAGAAAAGAATGATCAAATAAGCAAATAAAAGATGGGAAAAGATGAAAAAAGATGGAAAATGAAAGAAAGATAACGCAAAGAAATATTATACCTTCAGGAGGCATTCAATTACATTTACACGACGAAAGATAAGTTGGAATTCTAGGCTTGGCATGGGGTTTCTGGAAATGAGGCAAGGTGATATCCCTTGTACGACATCGGGAAAAGGTTATACCTATAAGGTCACACTTTGACAACTACCCAGAAGGTATATAGCAAAGTAATCTGGTCGCTATCTGGATACCCTTCTTTGATATGATAGGGGATGTGCCAAAGGCGAGCGAAAAGCGACCTTTCCAAGAAAGTGCTAAACTACTTTTGCAGTATCATCATCAGACATCAACCTGTCCACCAGACGACGAAAGCTCTGTGTCGTATCCAACGTATCCTTGCTGTCTTCAGGCCACGCAGCAGATGGGTGCTTTACGAGCGCCTTGGCGACACACCAGAATTCGGCGGCATGGATAATGAATCCGGCTCGCTTGGCAGTAGCTGGTTCAATCCCTTGGTACAATGAGTCCCAGTGGATCTTCCACCGAACCAATGCACGTTCCACCGGTTCAAAGACTCGGATGTCATTCATGAATGTGTGCAGCGCTAACAGGTCAAATAGTACACATTGTATCGCTAGAATAATGTAAGTCAGGGTCTATAGATGTCTAGAAGTGGAGGTGGGGAAATTTTCTCTGCAGCCTACCGGAAAGAACAAGAAATGATCCGAATATAGTATTTGGAAAATATTCCCCGTGTTGAGGAGGTTCGCCTTCGGGCCTCATGAAGTCGCGGAGAACGGCCCGCAATCGTAATGGTACGTGGGGCTTCTGATCTTTCAATGATAGTTCCTCCCATTCAGTGGCGTTGTGAGCATGGAATAGGTCATCCCGTTGTGGTATTTCAAAAGCTATCTCATCGAGTCTCAGAAGGGTAGGATAGCGAAAGAAGATAACACAATAACAGTCGAGCAGGTAGATGCCCGCCATGACTCTGATACATAATGTAAGTCTAGGTGAACTAGGGAATTCGGGGTTTGATCTTTCGCCCACCTGACAAGACTCTCACGGAGAAGATATGTGTCCCAGTCTGAAACTCCAGGAATACAGTCATTCGTAATCTTATTCAACTCGAGCATACGAATGGCAGTAAAGATAGTTGGCATGCGTTGCAAGCGAATGCGTCGTATGCTATCAGGACTTTCCTTATAGGACTGCAGAATAACAACAAGCATTGCAGCTTGAAGGGTTTCCAGGGTGTCACCAAAATCAAGGGATTCACGATTTCCATCTAACAGCTTCTTAAAAGATGGTCCTTCAAATACTAAGTGTTCAGTGATATTTGAGTATGTTGCCAAATCATCTGAGCGGTAAGGATTATTGTAAACTGCACCTAGTAGCACAATTGTGAGAACAAGAAGATTTGAGGCTTTGTTCAAGCTGAATGCGGCCGGAGTAATGTAGTGAGTGTGAAATGGATTGTCAAAGAATGCCCTAATGAATTTGGCGATGTTAGAAGGGGTGAATAGTTGCCTGGCCTTATCAATGCCCAGGGAATCCTGACCCAGTGCATCTTGTTGTTCAGAGCAAACCATTATTCCTAGGAGCTCGGCGGCAATGCTCTCAAGATCTGCATGATCAAACGAGTATGTCGCACTGGTTTGCGAGTCGCATGGTGGGTCCAGATTAGCAGTATAAATGAAAGACTGGAACATCCTTTCCCAAGGATCTGTGAGGAAGCATGAATTTCCTGGCTGATGGTCCACAGCACAACAACCGACTTGCGGATCCGCACCCGTACATTGAGACAGCAAGCGGAGACTTTCGTATTTCGATTCACTCTCTACATTTGTATAATGTAGAAGAAACGGTATTGACAACTTTGCGGGGCGATGGCATGGCTCCCCTTCCGTTGACGGATTGATATCTTCCGGTAATTGACGAGTTATGGCTTGGCTAGCCTCGGGGAATCTGGGTGACTGCTCATGCGTGCGGCTGAACGAGCAATTCAGACCCTTTTGTAAGCAGGCCTCGCAAGGAACCTCTCCGTCACAGAATACTCGCGCTGTAGCGCAGGCGTTACATGATTTTCGCTTTCTCCCTGGCTTTCCTTGAGTGGGAAGTTGGTAATCTCCCTTGGGCCCGCATCGTTGAAGATGGCGACGTAGAACATCCCTGGTGGTCAGAAGTAAGACAAAGCTAGTAATCCACTGATACTCTAAAATCAAAAATTACCTTCTGATATAGGCACCACCACAAACTGGGCAGATTAGCTTTTCTGATGGTCCGTCTGGTTGTGATTAGATACCGGGATGGATGCAGGGCCGGCGTCGCTTACGACTCGCTTCATGTCGACGCAGGTGGCTTTTGGTGGAGAAGTCTTTCTGGCATGCAGTACACCTCACAAGACCCCTTTCATGAGTACTTCGCGTACTCGACGAATTTCTGTGGCGCATTGGTGATTCTTTGACGGCATAATACAGTAAGTGCATGAAGCGGCGATGTGAATTTTTGCGGAGGTTCGGCGGGAAGGGTTGCAGCTAGAGTGGGGATGGTGGCGAAAGGCCAGTTGAGAACACTCATTCAATCAAACCTGAATATGCTTCGACCATGCTGTTATCTGATTCAACTTCGCAGCTGTTGAGATTGGGAAGCCCCCTGCGCGTATCTAAGGAGCTTTCGTGCGTTATGAGCGCAAAATTAGTGGGGATACAATGACTGTGCTCATTCCCCTGTGCCGAGTAGTCGGGAAATCCCACATGCTAGTCGGGAAATGATCCACATCAGTGTATAAGCCCTCCGGGGGCTCAGGGACCAGGAGAAAATTGTTCGAGACCCCGTCAGTAGCAACTATCGAAGACATCATGAACTATATATCGAGATTTGGCTCATCATTAAATATCAGCAATGGTCCGTTGTTCCTCGCAATTTGGGAGACTTACTGACTCAACAGGGGCTTTATCCCAACGCCTCCGATCGCGTTTGCGCCCGACTTTGGTGACGCCTTCTGGATTTTGCTTTTACTCTCGCCGTGACTTCTCTTCGAGAAATATTAGGGTGGCTGCCAATCCACAGCAAGATCAGGGGAGCGATCCATCAACTTCTACGGCTCTTACAGCCGAGAAACGACCTATGAACATGGCCGAGCACGTCCTGTAAGCAGTCCGACTTGCTCGTCACCCCAAAAAACACTGCGCTGACTTTCCAAAGTACTACATTCGATCAAATAGTCAACTGGGCCCGTCAAGGGTCTCTGTGGCCTCTGAGCTTTGGTCTAGCGTGTTGTGCGATCGAAATGATGCACGTTTCAATGCCCCGATACGACCAAGATCGCCTCGGTATCATCTTTCGAGCCTCTCCTCGACAGTCCGATGTGATGATTGTTGCGGGGACTGTGACAAACAAGATGGCCCCGGCTCTGAGGCAGTGCTATGATCAGATGCCTGAGCCAAGATGGGTCATTAGCATGGGTAGCTGTGCTAATGGTGGAGGGTATTACCATTATAGCTATAGTATTGTTCGGGGAGTGGATCGCATTGTTCCCGTGGACGTGTATATCCCTGGCTGCCCTCCCACAGCGGAGGCAACTCTCTATGGGGTATTCCAACTACAGAAGAAGATAAAAAGGACTCGGGTTACGCGGATATGGTATCGACGGTGATTGCTGCGGCTTGGTAAATTGTTATCCCATGCCTATCTTAGCCGGCACTTTCGTGTGTATTTGCGCGTTTTGAACTGCATGTTGGATATGTCAGAGGAGCTCGGTCTGGAATCTAACATTAGTATCTTACGTATCCCAAGTGAGATGTCTGTCAGAAGCGGGGTCCCCCCTCCTGCAATTGACGTGTTAATCACAGTAATCAAGTATGGTGGTTATACCTATCATTCGATTTGTTACTGGTTTCTTCTCCTTGACGCGCTGACTCGAGATGTCTCGCATCATGCAGTAGTGCTGCTGGGAGTGCCGAGTCTGGAAGAAACCGATTGGTGGAAAAGACGACGAAGAGTTTCGGGACCACACAAACAAGCAACATACAGTCAACATTTAGCCCGTGTGTTCATGTAAGACGACGAGGCTAGCTTCTACTAATGCAATGTGGCTTATCACACGTGCCCAAAGCATGGTCATACGGATGGGCGCCGTAAATTGGCTAGACTCGTGGTTGTGGAAGCAAACCCGCGATTGGCCAATAAGTGCCATCGACGATATAGTAATGTTTGCTACGCCGTCACGTCTTACAATGAGCGTGTGTGCGGAGGTCAGCACTATTTAATATAGTGCACTTCGGCTTCTCTAGCCGTGTTCGATGGCTACCCCGCAACATGAGCACGGGGATCGTGGTCCATCACCGGAGACAAGCTTCGCCCTTGGCTGCCTAAGCTTTTCATATTCAACGGGTAATCCGGATGAAACGAGACGCCTCGGACATAAGCAGTATTATGTGGACGGCAGCCTCTCCGACAACAAGCTGACCAGGTCGTATGAGAATATGATGAAGACCAACGAATATAAAAGGCAAGCAATGTCCCGTATAAGTGGAAATCAGAATCACCTCAGTTCCCTTCTGGCCCTGTCCCAGCGTCAGCGACTCAGATATCATGGCTATTATTGTGACCGTCGCAGCATTAGCTGCAATTCTTGTTCAACAGGTTACAGCGTCTCCTCTCATGGATACCCTCCTGCAGATCCCCGACTTATCTACCTACGCCGAGGTGTACAACCTGACCGGCGGTATTGTAGAGATCAATCCATTATTCCTCAAACGCTACAACTACGACGAAGACAAACGTAACTACACATTCCTTGCTCCCACTGACGATGTAAGACCTTCATCCACCTGTCAGCCTATTGCAGAAAGACATTTGACCAGTCAAACACATAGGCATGGGCCAAGATTCCCGACGCCATCTTTGATGTCCTTATGACTCAACAAGCCTACCCCTTAACCGAGGCCCTCCTGCGCACACACATCATCGAGGCTGGTCTCACGGCTTCTGAGCTTGTCAAGGTATCTGAAAGTGAGGGTGCAGGGGGAATATCTACCTCACTCCAGGTGTCCAATACTACCGAGCAATACCACAACGGGGTTCTGACCAAAACAGTCCAGGGATATTATATTGACTCCGTCACTTCCTCGAATGGCACCGTACAAATCGACGATCAATCTGCCATTGTGATGTCAAATATTGTTGCAGACAATGGTCTGATCCATGCAATCGATCAGGTTATTGACCCTTTCCTAGTCTATGGCGGTGGACCTAGCAATCGGACAATCGCACCGACCACCGAGACAACAAATCTGACCATTGGAGAGTTCCTGAAGAGTGACTCGCGCCTTGTGAACTCTTCGAAGATTCTATTTGAAAACTCCCCAGATACGTTACGTCGGTTGTCGAAACATACAGGCAGTATGCAGGTCTTCGTGGCACCACAGAATGAGGCTTATGATCTGATGCCTACTATCCTTCCCATATTCCGTGAGTTCTCTCACATCGTGAAGCCACAGAGCTATTGGCTAACGTCAACTCGAACAGATACTCTTGTCGCGCCATACAAAAGTCCATTCAACACTCTAATGTGGCAATATGGCTGGCTTGATAGTGATGGCGATACCTTGGCGGGGTTAAAATTCAGCAGTCCGGTCACACTAGCCAGCGACGTAACGGGGCTAAATATCACAGTCACCCAAGAAGAGGATGCTGTGTTCATCATGAATGCAGGTCTCGTCACTCAAGTGAAGGCATCCAATGGGTATCTGTGGATTGTGGATCGGTGGTTGGATCCCTTGTATCAGGCCTTTGGTCCCATCGACCGATTTGGCACACCAGAGTGGCCGTGAGGTTGGCGATTTTATTTGCTCTTGTTGGAGGTGTCTCATAGTCCCTGGCCGAAGTAGGTATTGGTTTGCAATGCTACGTTTTTTAAAGCTTGACATATGTTTGGTTTCGAGTAATACAAATTAATTCTTGGGCTTTTATTAGTATTGTACCCTTTCGAAGCGACTACTTTCCTTAGCATCGGAAGCAATTGCAGTACATAGCATGTGCGCAGCTACCGAAAATGGCGATCACGACACGTCCTTTTCTCCCACCTCAAGCGGCAAAGTTTAAATGCGAATGGTATCCCGAAAGCCCGAGTGAATTCAATGATTTGGTAGGTTCCCAATGTCTCGGTTTCCGAAACTCACCAACGGCGAGACGTGGACGGCATTCCCATGCCTGGAGGAGGGCCTCGATTTAGAATTCTCATCGAGCACTGTCGGGGTCTTCGTGGCTCGATCACAGGGGCTAGATGAAATCCACTGATGCCTCATCGTTTGCGTCTATCCTCCGGTACTGTTCTCTTGAAACCCACGAATCCCACGCCAATCGTCGGACTTGAATACATTATCACCCTTGTAACCACCTATCCGTGAAGTATCCCGTCACAAACGCAAAGACCCCCTTATGGAGAATATCGATAACCTGTTCATTAACAGGCCAGGTCCTATAGTCAGTTAGTTTCATACTCCAACAATCATGTATGCAATAAGACTAGTCGAACTCACCAAGGAAGTGCCCCAACACCCGTAACATTCTCCAATGTTTGATCGATCATAAGCCGTATGGCAACAAACATGAAATCCGCGAATGGCCCACGAACACCATATGCGCTCATAAATGCTCTAATTATTCCCGCAGCAGCTCCCTGTCCATAGTGCATCGCCATGTTCAATCCGAAGCGCTCGGAATCGGGGCGTACGGGTAGTCGGAGAAGGCGCTCCAGAGTGTGACCCGGAACATATGAATTCGGTCGGCCGGTGAAGTACTGCTCGATCTTTTCGCCTACTGTCATTCTGTTAAGTGGTCAAAGTGGTCAGGCTATTGGTCGCTCTTTGTGATAAGGTGGTTATCGGACTTACGCAGCGACGCCAAGCAGACCCGCTCCGCAGCCGTAGAGGATGCAGCTCCCTAGTGAGGACGGTCGGGGCGGCTGCTCGGGAATTGTGGTGCGACGGGACATGTTGTTTGCTTCAATTAGTGATAGAGTATTGATTGGCATGTGGCTGGGGCTATAAAGCCGAAGTTGGTGAGGGAGGAAGATGATAGCTGATATAGCGAACCGCGGGTTGCACTGTATGGCGTAGGGATGACGCATGTGAGCTTATCCAGCAAGTAACAGCAAACCCTCCAATGACCTTCCTTCGACGAACATCAAGCATCGGGACAACTTATTAGTGAGCCTATTAGTTTTATTCATGCTTTTTCTCGTACGGATTATGGTGCATTGGTGAGGTTTTATAGGGACACTTAAGAACCCACGGGGATCTCATAAGTGGACGTTTTCACAACCAAACATGCCATCTTAAATGATGTCCATACAAAGAGAATTGAAAGACATAAGTAACAGTTATCACTGAACAATGGGCTGATGGTCTGGGCAATCGTGAAGTACAGGGGCTGCTTTGTTTGCTATTAGCCGCACTAGTATATATCCCGTTGACAATTTATATATATCTCACACGCAGCGCCCCCCATCAACCAAGACTTCAACACCGCTGATAATCGAACTCTCAGGAACTGCTCGTCAGAAATACCAGCAAACCTATTCAGCAAGGGAGTTTTTTCCTGACGTGGGGCACATAACTGGTTTCCAGCTCCCTTCCTGACCCCGTGCTATATTTGCGAAGATTTGGTAGGCACGGAAGCCAAGGGGGCAAATTTGTAGAATTAGCCAAGGATAACATGAACGTTTTAATGGAGCAAAGTCCAATATTATCCTATCCAAAGAAAAATATAGTACATACGACCATAGGGTGTGGAAAACAGGGCTTCCCGTCCGCTCAGCCGTACTTAAGCCACACGCCGGGAGGTTAGTAGTTGGGTGGGTGACCACCAGCGAATCCCTTCTGTTGTATGTTTTTTGTATTTGTTCTTTTTAATTTTTTCATCAAATTTATGATAAATAAATTTATTTGCGGACTACGCAGCTTAGAGGTTTGATTCCTGACAGGTGTCCATCGTGGGGACAATTGGTGCTACCGTTTACTTAGTATTTAAATTGGCGGATGCGTCAGCACATAATTAGGGCCCCTGATAAGGAATTGGATGAGCTATCCAAAAGCATTGGCACTAGAGATCGCGGAGAGTGATCAAGAATGACAACTAGTTCTTCACAAATCGGGCCCTGCGCAATTCAAACATTATTCCAGGTAGATAGGACTTGTCCTCAATAGAATAGAAGGGCTTTCCGACCATGCCCTCTCATCAGGCTAACATCATCAGCCTAATGTGAGGAAGTACCCTGTGACCGGATATCTTATCTTTCATCCTCAACCACGTAGGGTCCCTGCAAGACCTGAGCATTCCTGGTGATGACCCGACGATCTCCAATCCATTCAACCTTGAAGATAGCACTAGCCCACTACATCAGCCCCATGCATTCAATCACCAGCGGAAAATTTCTCAACTTACTGGACCTTCCCTCCATACATCTTCCCATCATCCTTGGACACAACGCGCCCTTTCAGCGCGAAGCCGATCGTGCCTCCACGCCCCTCTTCGACGTTGACATCAGGCGTGGCAACGGCTTCGTGGAATTCAAAGTCTAGGAAGGTGTAGCGAGTGCGCCACTCTTGGACAAATTTCTTGAACCCGTCTAGGTCCAGTCGCTCGGAGTTCCATCTATTGCGGAAGAAGGCCATTACGAGGTTAGATAATCCGTAACTCAATTCTTTTCTCTAAGGTTATTTGTGCAGGCTTAATGTGGAGATATAGGGTATAGAGGTCGAGTGTAGCGAGATATGGGAGAGTGATTGCTTACTCAAACAACGCATCGGAACTGTAGTTGTCATCCACTAAGGTCATGGCCTCTTCGTCGGAGGGGACCTCGTAAATCAATCTTAACACATGGCTGATTTAGCAACAATACAATGTAAAAGGGTTGCGTGAATGAAGATCATACCGTTGAATGCGTTGAACGAAGAACAGCAAAGGAATCTTCACCTCTCCCTCCGTAGGAGTAGCGGTCGTTTTGGGAATGGGAAACAACATCGCTGCGGTAAGAATACTAGGATATTTTGCCTTATAGTGTCTTGATTTCGGGTAGAACAACATTAACTCAGGCCGATCGCTTGTGCGATTTATATATTGTTGTTCCTCAAGACGAGCAGGGAATCGCGTTGATGCTATACGAAGATGACTATGATGATATCACAGTACACTGTCTTGGCAAGAACCATGGAATAAGTCCTTGGTTGAGCTTAGTGTACGATCTGCGTAGTGTCAGTCGTGGATAAAATTTCTCGTATCGAATGACAGACCCCTTCAATTCGTCCACATAGGTTCAATAATGTCTTGTGCGCCTAGTGGGTTATTCCAGCCATGTGTGACCGTATCGTTTCTAGATGAGGAGGCTGGGTGCTGCAGTATCATAATATGTCGATTGCATTAAGGAAAATCCGCAAGTATTCGTTGCCTGATTGATACCCATACTTGTTGTGCGAGGACCAGCTTACCGTGTTCGACAGTGTCTGAAGAATCGAGCTTATTATTTCCAATTAAAATCGCGTATAGATGACCTCTCATTATCAGAAACGTCATAGTCGCTAAACCTAAAGTTCAAGCGGTGACAATGTTGAAGAGACAAGTTCGGTGATGAATAAGTCTGACATTTTGACTATCTATAATCCGCTGTCATTATCTCAAAGCACTAAGCTGCAAGGCCTCTGAAGTAGTACTGATTATCAGCCAAGGCGTGTAAGTGGTGTCAACTCTAGGCTATATGCTTGTAGAAAAGCCTGGATGGACTGATTGAGTCAGGGTCGAAATACATCATGCCTGGTTTGCACATCTAGAGCAGTAATCCGTAGACAGTTCAAGCCTTCCTAGCACGAGCAGCTTACATCGCTTCTGAACAGCTTTTGAGATAATGCTGTATATTACCCTCGTGTTTCTCCATTAAACAGGATATCCAATGCTCTGGGGTAGTACACAGGACTTCTGGGTATAAGGGTGCATTGGATATATGTGCCATAGTACTTGGTGTTCTGGCAAGCTTTGGCTTCGTGACATATTTCTTCGGCAAGAGCTTTCGGAAGTTTACGCAGCGGTGGGCTGTGGATGAATGATTGTGTCTTAGATGGACGACTCAAGGAATTGCCTCAAGTGTTTGGCCTGGGGTGTGGTACTGTGGATATTGTGCCTGGGCTCGTGTTGGTCGAATAGAAAGAATGTAAGGGGTCTACAGCATGCGATGGATGGGGATTTCGGTATAGCTCTTGGCTAAAATTATATAGCACTTTATTTGATGGTATGCTGGATTTCGTTAAATTTTATACTAAGACACTTCTCGCGCTCTGTTTAGAGGGTATTTACCCGTATGAGCTCGTCTGGTGGTTGAGTCATTCTCACAGTAACATAATTTCAGAGGAAAGTAACGGAAAGTGAAAATAAAAAAGCTGCATATCCTGATATATAACCTCTCTATCATCTATCTAATTACATCCACGACCCAAGCATTATAACTCAGAGGCTCCTCCTGCAAAGTGCCGCAAGATTCTCCAGCCGGAATACCCTACAAGGGAAATAACTGGCAAGACAATAAACAAAGCACCCACAATAATACCCTGCTCAAAGAACCCAATAGCAGTTCCTGGTCCTTGGCCAGTTTCTCTCAGAGGTTGACTTTCTCGTTCCCTAAAAGCCTGTAGTTTGCTGTACGTGGGGTTCGTAAAATCCTTTAGCTCAAAGCCAAATGATTCAATTGACTCTATGAGCTCCGGTCTCGGTTTGGACATCATCTCTTTGGTGTAGCGTAGGCGAAGAGAAAGGCCGTCTTGCCTGTGAGGAAGAGCAGGTTCAACTAGGGATACATAACAGGGATCAGTTAATAACTTTATGGAAGGAGTTGACCATGAGAGTAGCTATGTTCACATACCAAGAAGCTCCGCTGGAATACAATTCACGAAGGACCAGCAGCTATCTATCTGTTGGCTCAGGAACTTTCCGGCAGCCGGTTCAGCAAAATGATACGCAACGAGATATTCAGGCCTACTTAGTGTTAGCAAATTTCAACGCGGAATCTCAGAATGTAGGCTGTTCGGCTCACGTGTTAGACGCTTCAATTACCGCATCTGATAAACTCGCAACTGTAAGCAAAGTTAAGTATTGCCCATTACCACGCATGGTGGCCAACGAAGACGACCTATGTAGTCGGATTTCGTGTCAGTAGTCGAACTCTCGGATAGTGTGTAATCAATTCTAACCTCTGATTCACATCGATCATATAAAAGCCCTCTCGCTTGATGAGGGTTGCCTCGTCCTTGCTCTCTGCCTCTTCGATTAATTTACCCTCTTCAATATCTCAATGTGGCGCAAATCCTTGTCGCGGTTCAGACCCATTGTTTTGCGAATTATCGTATCGATAAAGCTGTTTTTAACCCATTCATTGTGGATTATGAGGTCTGGTGCGTGGGGCGATTGTCCGGAGAAGGCAAGATGAGCAGAGAGGATTTGTTCGGCGGCCTTGTCAACGTCTGCTGTCCGATCAACAATCGCAATTGACCGCAGACAGGGAAGTGATCGGATTAAGTTGGCGGCTTCCCTTTTACCAGTCTGGTCAATTATCAAGGCCGTGGAAAGAACCTCCTTATCATTCAAAGGGCCCTTGCTTAAAGCATACAACTCCTGGTCGAGGGATTGGAACAACGATGGTAGTAGCCCATCCACGGCACACTCGTCGCACTATGACCAAGTCAATGTCATGATTAGTGTAATAATTGAGTGGCACGAAGACTGGGTACGCACCTCAACCACAAAGGTGTTCCCAGCAGCTATAGCACATGCCACAGCAGATATGATTGAGTAGAACCTCGTGTGACTAGTCGGTCTCACAACAACAACCCCATAACCTACTCGGCGTTCAACATTGTTTTCTCCTCTAGCAATCTTGTATTCATCGTCAATAGCTTGATCAAAATTGATCCCATCGTAATGCTCGCTGACTGTCGCAATCGTCATGTAGTGTTCCACTTCGGCTTCCGCTTCAGTCGTGAACGGAGTAGAAGCGACGACGTCCAAAATCCCCTCGCGCGAGTCCAGGAGGCTTTGGTGGAGTACTTTCAATTGACTTTGAAAAAACCGCCAATTCGATGTTCGGCCATCGATTGCTGCGGCGCGAACGCGCTTGATGCGAGAATTCGAAGACAACATTTTGCTTGACCAGACAACGTAAAAGACCACCCAGGCACAAGCTGTTTGGGGAAGGTCAGGAGTACAATGCCTTCTTATTCCAGGCTAAACCTCGGCTTTCATAACTAGCCCTGTAAGCCTAGGCCTCACTCTCCGCATCCTCCAATGTGCGTGTGTCCCCCACCGGAACGTGTATCGTTCCGGCACAATGCAGATATAAGAGCACTAGACATACATCCATCCGAGCGTCCACATAGCATTTCAGCTAGTGCTTCGATACTGTCTCTTTCAGAACAAGCGATATCATGACTAGTCAGACCACTACTACCACTTCCCTGTCCCCTCTCAATGACTATCACATCCGACTTACCGGCAGCCGTGATGCCTTGCCGGTGAAAGTCACTCGTCGTCGTGCGACAGGGAGAAATCCCCCCCAACTGGCCTACCAAGTACAGACGTGTTCCCACACATCGACCCGTTAATAAACATTTGGATTTATCGGAACGTCCGAATGGGTCGAATACGGGGGAATGGGTCTTTGTAAATGTCATGCTCAATGGCGTGCGTTTGAACTCCGTAAGTGATTAATTCCAGAAATACTGAGACTAAAAGTGGACGATGGTACTGATCTAGCATTGTCAAACATAGCTTTTCGTGACCAGCTACGAGAGCACTATAGGAAGATTCTACCCAAAATTGACGAGATACGCTATCGGAGGAGAATGGTAGACTTTGTGGAAGAATGGGGATGGTTGGGGAAAGCGTAATTGTCTTACGTGTCTCGCTCTGGTTCTTAATATGCTTTGTCAATTTGATAGTCGTATACCGTTCCCTGAATCCCCCAATTTACACCCCGATACAGAGGCATGGTCTTTTCGCCGGAAGGAGGTGGGGCGGCTAAGTGGCTCTCCGGGGGAGAAAGTGGGAGTGTTGATCCGCCACCGGAACCTCTTCGGATAGCCAGACAGTAGTTCGTGCTGAGATGGGGTATAGTGAAAATTTTAATAATACCTTAAATATGAGGCAGTTGCTGAGCAGCCTTCACAAATCTTGAATCAGCTCATTGGCCTCAGATCACCCCTCTCCCCCTAGACTCAATCTTCTACATTGATAGTCAGAATGCCTAATAACTTCCGGGATATCAGCGAGACCTTCGTGGATGAGGAGAACAAAATAGTTTTCCACAAGAATGTTTCTGTTCCCATGAAATGGAATGGGAGTGTGCTCCGTATCAACGTATACCGTCCTCTGGCGGAGGGTACCTATCCCAGTTTGGTCACGTACGGACCATATGGCAAGGACATCTATTATGGAGAGTCAGAATTGTTCCCTCTTGTCCACTGTGTATTGGTTCTATCATACTGACAATGGGTTTCACTCTAGCTTTCATGCGAAGTCCTTCTCCGAGGTCAATCCCGCGCATAAATCAAAATACTCAGCATGGGAGACACCGGATCCCGTATTTTGGACCAAACACGGCTACGTCGCTGTCCGCGCAGACGAGCAAGGTTTAGGCCAATCAGCTGGTCTACTTGATACCATGTCAGCCAACACTGCCAACAGCTTCTTCGATCTGATTGAGTGGACTGCCGTACAAGATTGGTGCAGCGGCAAGGTTGGCTTGCTGGGCGTGAGCTACTATGCCGGTAAGTAAAACCCGTGATCTTTCTACTCCAACAATACCTCTATCTTACCATCTAACCTTTGATCGTTTTTTAGGGAGCCAATGGCGTGTCGCAGCAAAACGCCCCAAAGGTCTGGCCGCCATCGTACCTCACGAAGGCATGTCTGATTACTACCGCGACCGGTGTCGCCACGGCGGGATCCTGTCGAACAACTTCATCGATTTTTGGTGGAACCGACAAGTGGTCACCAATCAATATGGTCGGCCTGGTCGCTCCAAGTCCCGCTGGGGAGAAGACACAATCGAAGGTGATCTGGATCCTGCTGAGCTCGCGGAGAATTGCCGAGATCAGAACGTCGATAACGCGGAAAATCCATATCTTGACGACGAGTATCACGCGTCGAAGGTCTTCCGTCTCGAAGATATCGAGGTGCCATTGCTGAGTGTTGCAAATTGGGGCGGAATTACGCTGCATCTGCGTGGTAATGTGGAAGGGTATACGTTGGCCGGCTCTAAATACAAGTTCCTGCGTTTTATTGTCGGACGGCACGACTTGCCATTTTATTACGACATAGTCAGATCGATATCATTGTTTTGATAGAGAAACTCATTCAGTCACCTTAGGTTCCCACCTTTTTAAAGGCACGAGACCGGTAGTCTAGTAACAGATGGATGTTGGAATTTGATAGAAGAAGGTGAGATCATCGATTAACCCTAATACCCCGTTCAGAGTTAGGTGTCTGGGTTTTTCCAGGGGCATCTTGGTGAGAGAGTCACGGCATCTGCATGGCGAACCAAATCGGAGTAGATGGGGCGATCGTCCACGGACGGCTACTATAGCTAATTTATAACCCCGATGCTCATTCAGTCGCCTATGTTTGCTATTGTAATTTAGTTAGCGTGGCTTTCTTCCTAATCTGAATAGTGCGTGACTATGCAAGACTTGTAAGCATCACTTACTAACCAGGTAGTGGTCACTTAAAGTCTTAGACAAGGTCTCGCTCCTTTTCCGATTTGATACATCTCCAGCTGTAGGAATCCACAGGAAGGGTTGGGTCAGCTCAGGGTTCCGGACGCCACACCAAATTCTCTGGCCGTGGCCTTGTAGCTGTCAAACCATCCGTAGCCTTACTAGTGTCTGCCCAAGGCGACGGGTCAAAGCACAGAGTTTTCTGAGAAGATCATCGTTCATTAATCAAACTCGCAGATATGATTGGTTGCTGATGGGGCAGAGCTGAACACAGCTGAAGGTGGAGTCTACTTACGTGTCTAATTTAATACACAAATTAGGGGCCCGTCCCGTTCGCCGATCGAATGGTCCCCAATCAAATGACCACCTAGCACTTCGTCCGTAGATAAGTAGGATTATAGCTGCATTTGACAACCCCACCCGTGAAGATCGTTTCTACACTCAGGTTCATAAACTGTCAGCGACGCTCCTGACGAGATGGTTTTATCCACTACAAAACTACCCAGGGCCCGCATCGATTGTTTTGGGTTCCATGGCTACGGGTGAATGCCTTTTCCACCCATGTCACCACACGTCACATTCAGAATGCTTCCCAGGACTATTGATCTCATTCTCCTGCTTCTCCTGGCATCCAATGTTCAAGCCTCCAGTACATTCCACACAAATTGCACGCTCCCACCCCAACACACCAGTTTTGTGTCAGCCCCAAACACCCGTGGCACATTGCAAATCCTTTGGTCGTCCCTATTCACCATCCTTGCCTGCACTTGGACTGTGCTTCATCTCAATGTCCCTGAGTATGTACCGAAACCGGAAATAAAGGACTTCAAAAAATGGCTCAAATGGATGGTGGACAAGTATCAACATCCAGCCAAGTGGTTCCTCCTTACCGTGCTTGCACCAGAGATTCCTTTTGCCAAATACTGGGATGATCAGGTCCGGGGGCATTCACTGTTTTACCACTATGAAACAGTTTTCAGGAAGAAGAACTGGACGAGGACTCATGTCCTCTTCGCCAATATGGGAGGGTTTGCGCTGCGGTGCACTCCCGATCTCGAGGAGAGCAGCCCCGGTTCGAAGAACGAGAAAGCGACTACGGAAGATCAAGACGACTACCAGACCAGTACGAGCCCCCCTGTAGAAGATGATACCTCTCTGATGGGGGGGCCTAGCACGTTGAAACCAATGACTTCGGCATCATGCTGCGGGAAGCCAGAAAAGCAAATACCATCTACACTCATCGGGGATCCCGCGAAAAAGTTCGAAGAAGTCTTCTATCTGACAGCCATCGAAGCCTTAAAACTTCTTTGCAGTACAGAAACATCTATACCAGGGCTAGAAAACGTATCGGAGGAGGAAATCAATGCTCGTTCGAAATCGGATATGTTCATGCGACTCCTTGCCGTGGGTCAAATTGTCTGGGTGGTTATTCAGATTATATCGCGGTGGGCCTATGGCCTGGCCGTGACCCAGCTGGAGGTTACAGTTGTTGCTTTTGCCTTCTGTGCGGTGGGAATGTACACTGTTAACCATGGGAAGCCTAAAGGAGTTGAGCTGCCGATTCTCTTCGAATATCCTGGGTCCAAGAAAGCGCTGCTAAGAGAACTTCAATATTCCATTTTCCCTGACTTTGAAGGGAAACACAGCAAGTGGAAGTTCTACAAATGCAAGTATTGCACTAAAAAGAAGATCCAAAGCCACGGCGGTACCAGCAAAGCCAACAAAAAAAGTAGCGACGGAAATGACGAGAACCATGAACCTGCAAATAATAACGATTCAACCGATGCTAAATCAGAGACCATGTCCAGAAGGGACCCTGTGGCAAACGCAGACATCGGAGGAAGCAAGAGATCGACCAAAGTGCTTACAGCGGAGATGATATTGACAAACCCTTCGGATACATTCACAGCAATTGTACAAATGGTACGAGCAACGCTCAAATCTAGCCGGGACTCGGGTGATCCAATTGGCAATGGATTCGTTGACGAATCAGAAGACCCGAGCAAGTTGAGCAATATTTCCACTGACTTGTGGATGTTCATCGGCAGTATGATCTTTGGGGGCATCCATCTCATAGCCTGGGATTTTCAATTCCCCACCACAGTGGAGAAATATCTCTGGTGGGCGGCGTCATTGTGGTGTACTGCTTGTGTACTGACCGAAACATTGCTTTACTTGGTAATCATCATACTAATTTATTCTGTCGAGTTCGCAAATAAAGCGATGAAATTTGACAACTCATCGACCCCCGAGGTTACCAAACCCGATGACCCAGCCGGACTGGGCGAAACGGTCTCGAGTACCGGCCCCGACCAAGTCCAAGCAAACCCTAACACAGAGCTTGATACCGGACCCAGTCCAGGTCTAAAGGAATTCCCCACTAGGGAGGCCGAAAAGCCAGCGCCCCCACCCGAGGATCCACAGAGAGATATAGAATCGCAGGTTTCATCGCCACTGCGCTGGAAGACGATCAAACTTGCGGATATAGCCCTAGTTGTTCTTTGTTTGTCCTATGGATTTGTAGCGCTTGTCCTCTCTGTATTGCTTATGGCCTTGGGGTTTGTTGGTATTCTTGCCTATATTGTGGCAAGATTGTTCATTGTTGTTGAGATGTTTAGGACATTGGTCTTTCTTCCGCCGGACGCTTATATTGCTACTTGGTCATCGGAAATTCCTAATATCGGTTGATCATATCATTACATGCTCGTTAGACTTGATTAATTGGCCAGTTATTCTATTCCTTAGCAATAGCAAGAAAATGAAGATTAAGACTGTGCAAGCGTATGTCTCAGTACTCCCTACAGGGTTATTCTTACATCAACCTCCTAGTATGTAGCTTAGACACGGCTGGTCAGACCAACAGTTCATGCCTCACAGCCTTTGGATGTAAATGCTCGAACCCCTCCCCCCCATGCAGAAGCCTGTATAGACCTTCAGTGGCTATCTTACTGATTCTATACCCCTCTATTCCAATGAAAACAAGCCCGTGAGGCAGACTGGGCATAAGACTCAATCACGGCTAGGCTAGAAGTACCATTCGATACCAAAGAGTGCCAGCTTGTCTAGCGACACGGAACAAGTACTAGTTCCAGTAAACATACCTGAACTGGGGGATCTCTTTATCTGTCTTATCCAGCATACCGGCAATATCTCCATCAACCTCCTCGTTGCCGTGGAATGTTGGATATACTCCGTCGCGACGTCGGTTCTCCCACACCAGGTAGAAGCGAGCTCCCCCACATGAAATGATCCCCACGGCATAGCATATCATAATAGCGAGGAATCCAGTGGTGTAGGTAGGCGCCTGATCTTCAAAGAATAGCTGCGGTCCGACAATATTTCCACCACAAAAACTGATCAAAATCTAGAGTTTGCGGTTAGCATCTACTGGCTCCAAGAATGCTACTTCAATAGGTGGTTGTCGCAAGGTGAATTCAACGTACAGCTGTGTTCACCGTCATCTTCTTGGTAAAACCCGCAACATTACCCGATGACAAGGACATCGCTAGGAGTAAGTTGGCAGCAGCGGCTGTCATGAGTACCTTGCCGGTGAAACGACCCCACATTAGATGGGCTGGGAGCTCGCGTATCAAAGCCGTGCCGATAGTGGCGAGACACAGGTTCCATACCATCCAGTACGATCTAGTATTGGTGAAATATGAGCTGCCACCGGTGGAGATAAGAACGGCGATAAGCATAGCCAAGTAGCAGGTTGCTTGAAGAAGAAGGGAGTTTAAGGTGCTGAATCCTAGGCCACTGACTACTATTGTGCCGAACTTAGGATTGGTCAATTCTGGGTACACTAGACACATAACATGGGGCGAGGACAGTTGGCAACTCACCGTGGTTAAGGCACCATTAGGAACCTGGCCAAAGAAGGTTATGGCGCATAACAACCAGGTTTTAGCATCTAGGAAGGCTTCAATGCACTACATCCACTTCAACTCGCTGCTCTTTATCCCAGTCATGTTCATCTTCACGCGAGTCACAGCTTTCAGACGATCCTCGTCATTCATGAACCAGGCCTGCATAGGAGTATCGGGCATAAGATACAACAGATGGACCAAGCTACTGTTAAGCTACCGAATAGTAAAAATACGACCTGCGATTTTTAGCAATTGTCTTAACAATGAAGAGAAATATCATCAGAAACTTTTTACTTTCCAAGGTGCCATGCTCTGAATATGTCCAAGCCCATACGCAATCAGGCGCCCGGTTATACCAGCGAAACTGTTTCCAATGGACAATGCGGCTTGCCTCAACGGCTGCTCAGATCGCTTGTACCACATGGCAACAATGACGCTTAGGCCTGGGGCAATGGCCGATTCAGCTGCGCCGAGAAAGAATAGCTCAACCAGGAGTCCCGCAGCATTGTCACAAGCGGCTGTTACTGTCAAGATCACCCCCCATATACATCTGTAATATTCCAGTCAGAGTTATGATGTCCGTTAAAGGCGGTCCTGTATAACTTTCTCACATTGAAATAGCAATTGTCTTTCCCACATGCCAGCGGACCATCAACATAGCGGCCGGGCATGCAGCAACCATGTAACCGAAGTAGTAGATGCCGCTCGCCCAAGCAAACTCATCACCGCTAAGCTGAAGGTCGCCTGGAAGGTCTAGAATGGATGTGAATGAGAGAGCCTGTTTATCTAGAAACTGTAACATGTATGAGATGGACATGAGAGGTAGCAGGCTGTGAGGGCACTGTTAGTTAGATAGTGTGTTTCTTTTCAAAATCTGGGCTGGATTCGCACCAAATGTCGATCTTTCCAAGAATCCTTCGGTCTTCCTCCGGGCTGAGTGGCTCGGTTGCTGAGCCAGACTTGACGAGCCCTTTCTCGGTTTGAACATTACCGGAGGCTCCTCTCCGGGGTCCGGGCTCTCTATCTCGCTCCGAGGCCATGGTATCATAACCCTCAGTCGAGAGAATAAGATGTAATGATGGGGAACGACTGCTGCCATCCGGATTGACAAATATATAGAGCGGTATGGCTACTAAGCATAGCCAGAAATGTAACCGTCCACCTGGGAAACTTTTCTCCTTTTCATTGCGCCACCGAACGTGTTCACGGCTGCGTTCAGCCAGCAAGCCTGTGCACAGGTTACATAATTTATCAGAAGAAGATATACGAACCGGGATATATCCTGGATACTTGGTGTTTCACAAGATCTGTGCGACCTCTCATGGTGGAGAAGAAGATTCCGTTCTTTGTTCAACTTCCCCACATACAGAGGCCTCCACCCACGGCCTGAGCTTTCATCAACTCGTCATATGCGCGATATACTATTTATGTTCTGCACGTGTGGCTCAATGAGCCATGGAACACACGTAAATTAACGGTGTGCATTGTGGTATTGACTGTTTTCCCACGCGGTCTGTGCCTTTACGAGTGCTACGTTACATCTCATCCCGACTGTCGTTGCATCTCAGTCAAGCCTTCTCTACGATGGTTCAACCATTAGTAAAATCTCCTCCCTCTAGAAGCATCATGGCCATATCCTGGCTATATCCAGACGCAGGAGTCCAGAAAATTTGGCATAGAATCCAAATTTCATTGACAATGTCGACGAAAGTGTGGGTTCCATTACATTCTCTTTCCTCAGAAAAGGTGGCTCCTTGTCAATATTTTCAATAACGGTTAGTCAGAGGAACCCAAAAATAGGAGATATGATAGCAGACCTACAAAATTTGTACCAACTGTGGAGCATGTCTGGCTTACTGGTCAAAAGTCAATTTGCTCAGTGAGTCTTGCCCGAAACCAGTTCAGGTTGGAGACCCGAGACCCTGTCCAACTCGGTCACTCCTTTCCATTTTGTCGTAAATACTCAGTAAATCCTCGCTTACGATCATATAGTCAACCTTTTAAGTATCGAGTTCAAAAGTCCATTGGGCGCTATCATAGCAGCCCTCTATATGTGCGTCTAGTCATAATCCATATATACAAAGTCATCAATCCAAATCTATATCAGATCACGCCAGCATAATGTACAGTCCAGGGCATCCAGTCCCAGTCTTCCAATTCTAACTGCAAACCTTATTATCTTCTCATGGTGCAGCATCCTCCTTACTAACCCGATGGCCCTGGTTAGCCTTCCGATCCGACGCCAGCGTCTGGGCAAACTTGCTCCTCTCGCGAATCTGCGGCCCCTTCCAGTAGAAGATGTAAATTGGAAGCACCACCAAGCACGAAAGACAAGCTAGGATAGTAGTAGCATACTCCACATGCCACTTATCACCGATATTCTCATACATCGGGGTGGTATACATGGCCGCAATACCCGCCAACAAATCACGGCAGAAAGCATTACCGCCCGTCGCAGAAGCAGAGTACACACCGTACGCAGCGACCATGTAATCAACCGAGGAAAGGTAGATAGCGTAGTTGGCTATGCCGACAAGGGTGGAGAAGATCATGGATGCTATCCACGGAACACCGTACTCTTGACCCAGAGACGTCCACGCGAAGCCGAACAGCCCTATCGGTTCAAGCAAGGCTAGATAAAGAAGCCACTTGAGTCTCCGCTCAGCAGGTAGTGCATCGTCTCCCTTCGCGTCGCGAATCTTCTGGTCCCGCCAAAACCAAGGGAAGTATGAGAAGTATGCAATAACGTAACCGATGTTGATCGGGATGACGGCCCAGGCCTGGCCGAGGATACCGAAGCCCCAGCCCTTCTCGTACACGATAGAGAAACTCTCCAGGAAGGTGAAAATGAGGGAGTCGGAGAATCCGGATAGGAGGGAGAGACATAGGACGATGGGTTCACGGAGGAACATGTAGAAAGGACGAATCCAGATCTTGCCGGCTTCTTTGAGGGAGATGCGGGGGTTTTTGAGCTCGTTAGGTCCGTAAATATTCGGGTCTTCGCCGGATTCACGGCGGCGCTTGGCTTCGCGGTCCATGATGATAGTCGAGCGGCTCTCCGGGATGAAGAGGAGGATTACCTCGACAACGAAGCCGAAGATCAGCATGATCCAGAAGAACCATTGCCAGTCGAGGTCTGTCCGATGTACAGTTAGTGGTTTGTGGATTATTTTACGGTCGGCTTTTTGAAAATGGGAGAATACGTACAGCGCTCAATCGGTCCACCTATGACACCTCCAATACTTGTTCCGATGCAAGACGATAAGACAATAAATGCCAGAGGAAACTGCTGGTCTTCGGCCTCGTAGAGATCAGCAATAAGGCCTAGGGTGACACTACCGCCCGCGGTCGAGATTCCACCCTACAGACATGTTAGCATGACATAGTGTACATTCCAGACGCAGGGAACTGACCAATCCACGAGCAACAACAATAGTGCCCCAATTCGGCGCCAAGGCAGCTGGAATTTGCCAGATATTGATAAGAAACATGGAAAGCTGGAGGATAGGCCAGCGACCAAATTCTTCACTCCAAGGCGCCCATAGTTCACATCCAATGGAATAGGTGATCAGGTAAATCATCTGCCCCGTCCGGGCTTCCTGCTCCCCAATATTGAATGCCTCTGACAACGGCTTGACAGCATTTGGAAACACGGAGGTGTTAAAGTTCATGGATATTTGGACGCATGCTATGGCCGCAAGATACGACCATTTCTTCCATCTCGGCCAGCAGTAAGCCAGCTTATCGTAGCAGTCGTTCTCCTTCAACTCGCGTCTTCCGTCTGAGCGTATGGACCCAGTTTCTTTCTCGGCTCCAGTGAGCCCAAATGCGGGGACAATATCATCCCCGCTATCCTGGCTGTCTTTCCCCTTATCGGAAAAGGAACTGCGAGATGACTGGGTCTGGGGTTGCTGTTCGTGGGGATACATAGTGTGATGTCATTAATTGATACTATCACACAGGAACAGGCAAAGATAAGAAACTATTCCTCTCTTAGAGTTGTCTGACATGGCTGGATACCCTGCCGGTCGTCTGATAGATATACCATCCTGCCTCAATCATTCATTCTAGATGTTGTCATACTGGAGCAGTTCGTTTCCAAACCGGATTTGGGAATTTGGGGTTACAGTGGGGCGGGCCGGGCAGATCCACCTGTGGATCATCGCCGGGGAGAAGTTCATACGCGCCCAATCAAAACATCGGCACTCGACTCACGATGCACCCTCGGGCTCACTTTTGATTTGTCTCTATGGCTTCCGGAGGTCCGGCTGCTCCATACCGATGCACCTAACTCGGAGTAACACACTACCCGATATCCACCGTAAGCACAGAGCACCCGGTATGATATCATCGTTGTGGTTCTGCATTGCGAAGAAACGAACCTTCGCCACACATCCATTCTTTCTTCCTCGTGCATTCACCACTCATATTTGACGTGTTGCCTAGCAGAATAGTGTCGAACCTCGGTCTCTCGGGATGCATAAGGAAATAGCAGCACGGAATGACGTGTCCTAGTAATGTGGCTGATATTTCTCCAGGTACCATGCATAATGACGCTCATTGCATCCCCTTCGGTCTGCTAATGTTCATTCGGATAAATTCTCCTTAATGTGCTGTTGTCGGTTATGCTCTTTCGACCAGTGCATGTTAATTCAAGTGCATCTTAACCTGGAATGATGTCATAGTACCTGTGTCTTCAATGAGTGACAGACACTACAACACTCATTCTTCTTGAACATTACTAACAAACTTGACACAGCTCGTTCATTACTCGGACTGCTGTTCTCCTGTTGAGGCGATATCATGCTGAACGACAAGTCATCCAAAAATCCAACGCAACGAGCTTCACTCTCGATGAGATCTCATACTGTATCTCTGGAAGATGTTAATCTGTTGTAAGGGGCAATAATCTTGAAAGAGTGAATCCACATTCCTGCATAGAGGACACTGCTTGTCGTGAAGAGATACATTCAGCACAACTATGAAGAAATGCCAATGATTATTCAAATTTGTATTAAGAAGTTAAGAAGTTATCTATAGAAAAACAAAATGAAAATTAAATACTGAGTGCCATCAGTTACTTCTGGTACCTTCATCATCAAACAAGTTGTCACACCGGCTAGACTTTTTCCGCAACATCTGCCTCACAACAAGGTCTCTCCTTAGAGGCTTTGTCAGTAGTCTTCGGACCTCTCCCGCTACGTTAAGTGTTTTTTTATTACCCTTAGTCATGAACTTCAGGCCACAAACACGAGGGTTCATTAATAACATCATCAAACAACACCACGCTACAGTTGACAGACGTAGCAGAGGAATTCATAAGGAAGGAGTTTAAAAGATACTAGAAGCATAAGTTCTATGACAGCATAATACAATCATGGTCAAAGTTTGACACACAAGCAATATCCTAGGGGTTGTGTATCTTAATAGTTGTGTTCAGACCTGCCAGACAACTTGAATATCCTTACTAAGCAATTATTACTAAGCATAGGGCCAGGGAACATCTTCAATGAGAATTACTCACTGAAAAACTTTCTAACGTATTCGACGGTTGGACGGCCCACACGGTTGGGCGGCCCATCTGGTAATACTATACAAAAGACTCTTTTTGAACACAAGATAACTCAATCATTATAAGACTGGAAGACTCAATAAAGCATAAATAAATTATGAATAATATAAATAATTATTTAGTATTCCTCAGAGATCTACATAAGTATGAATAGTATCTTTTCATAATACAATATATGTAATTTATCTGTAATTCTAGATATATCAATATATCTTATATAAGAAAAATTTTAAAAAATCTGGAAAAAATATATATCAGTTTTTCTATGATACATTATCTATATGTGAAGTTATAACTAGTCATTCTTTGTAGTGGTTGAGATATAAAAGGTTTAAAAAGGCTTCTTTTATATGGGATAACCAGATGGGCCGTCCAACCGTTGAATACGTTATGTAGGGTCTGCAATAAGTTTTGCATTCTTTTTAAGTGCAATCATAATGTTTACAGGGGATGCAAGCAGTCGTCGCATTCATTATAAGCACCAGTGCAGGGCGTTGTAATATCAAAGCTCCCTCAATTCCGTCTAAGTATTCGCCGATTTCCTCTCTCAAAGATAGATAAAGTCAAATTAAACTCATCGAACAAAGTTAAACACTATAAAGTCAGGTCCCCTCGGGGTTCAGTTTATAGCCCCAATCAACGTCCCATTCCACTTCCGAATATACTGCCTCTGGGCCTGAAAATAGTAAAGTTTTCGATAGCTCTCGTATATACGGTGAGTCACCGGCTCTAAGCGGCCTTTAGCGGGTTTTACGAGCGTCAACCCCACTGACCAGCTATATATGAGCCTGTTAAACCCCGCATCAGCTAGTTCCGATATGGGATATTTGCCCGGGCATAAGCACATATATAAGTGCTTATCCCCTCCAGTAAGCCTGATCCATGTGCCACGTCTGAAGCACTGAGATAAAGCTATCCTTGAAAAAACATCTCAACACCATTATGAAACTCTACGACTCACCCGCCCCCAACCCCATGGCCGTCCGCCTGTTCATCCTCGAACGTGGCGGACTCAACCTTGACGTTGAAGTTGTTGACACAAAGACTCTTCAGAACCGACGCCTTCCATATCGCGCGATTAACCCTCGCGGGGAAGTCCCCGCCCTTCAACTCGATGACGGCACGATCCTGACTGAAGTCACGGCCATTTACGAGTACCTGGACGAGATCGCCGCTGGAGGTACATCGCTCTTTGGAAATACGCCGGAACAGCGTGCCGAGACCCGCATGTGGCTGAGAAGAATGGATTTGGAGATTTGTCAACTGGTTATTGCTTGGATCAGGAATGATCCTGCTACTATCGATCTCTATAAAGGCCATCGAATTCCGACGCCTGAGGCGAGAGTGAATCAAAAAGTGATGATTAATCAAGCGTTGAACATGCTGGATGATCAGTTGGAGGGGAAGACTTGGCTATGTGGGGATAGGTTCTCTGCTGCTGATGTTCACTTTTATGGGTTGATGAAGTTGATGACTATGAGGTTCTGTGATTGGGTGCTGTTGCCGGGACGAGAGAACTTTTTGGCATATTGGAAGAGACTGGATGAGCGTGAGGCTTCGAAGAAGGCTTTGCAGACTTTTGCGGCTAGGGTTGAGGTGTGATGCACATACTGGGTCTCCGAGGGAAAGTTCCCATAGGATCATATCATTGACCCTTCCCGACTAGCTACCGATACAATGGTGTCAGGCACATTTGTGTTACTAATTCCCGAACATATACAGACCACTCATCCAGACGTTTTACGGTTCCTCCCAGTTGCAACAAGCTGCTACTTTCTTCGTGTCATTGTTAGTTGGTTTTATTCATGCCGAGGCACTAGAGAAAGTCCTTGTGTCTTGGGAAAGATTCCCATAAGATCTTCCACTTTCAACGTTCATTAAAGAGCCTGGTTGCTTCTGGTTTCTTCATTGCACTTGCTCAGGTCATGTCGAAGCGGACACTTCCAAGCCTCGGGATCGTTGGAAGAATTACGAAAAGTAGCCAATGCGTAATGAGAAGCAACTAGAGGTCGTTGGACGCCAGAATTATTAATTTATTTTGGATGATTCAACCTCTTGTCTACATGGTAGCGTGGTTGATCTCAAGTGCCAGTTTTCCCGCGTGTTTGACCCTCCACCATGCGGAAATAGTATCCGTACCTCAGCCCGACCCCAAATCTCACGTCTCACCAAATCCCTGAAAGTCACCCATCTACCGAAGACACTATCTCCATAACAAAGTATAGTAAGAGACAGCTAGTCCAACTGTCAACTAGGCATGTGCATGTTTACAGGTGTCTATGTATCATTAAATCCCTTTTACTCCTCGCTATCATCTTCCATATTCTTGTTTCTGATTAGCAACAAGGCTTGGGCGACGCTCAAAGCAATTTTCATCAGCAGGCACAGCCAGGAGAGGCTGAGCTCACTACCGTTCAAGTGCCTGTCCGGTGCCCCAATACAATACCAGTTAGTACTAGCATATTCTTAGTCTAATCAACAATAAACAGTTGCAAAAATTGGGAAATGAAAGACTATTACGTTCACTGTGTATCAAGAGCAAAAGCATTCTTTTTGACTAATTTCTGTCATTGTTGTTAATTGGTAACAACGAAGTTTCTTCCTAGCCTATATTCGAAGGGACCCTAGCGGCCTTGGCGGCCCATCCCCCCGCTCAATTACCAGCAGCGCCAACAATTGGCATTTGAGCTTGATTGGTCTTATGGCATATCACTCTCACAAGGAATCCGTTTCCTCCTTCGATTTTTTTTTCTAAAAAAAAAACCTTACACATGTATTTCCAGATATTGACAAAATCTGTTCGAGGAGTGCTCATTAGACGGTTGTCAGAGTTTATTTAGCATTCGAGCATAGACACAAATATATGTAGGCATTTTTCTAAGACAAGAATTCGTACAGGCGGTGCCATTGACAATCTCACAATACAGTCATTGCAGCCAGTTTGAAAGGGCTCAAGTCCGAATCGAAGCGAGAGTTTGAATTTGAGACAGCAATCTCGATAGGCCCTAATGTCCCACATCTCCCTCTTCTCACCGTCGGCTGTAGCCGACAGCATTCCTCATTGAACAAACCCAAAATTCTACGAGATCTAAGTGTTAAGTTGCCAGATGAGTGACCGTTACCATAATGACAATTATTCTCACCGGGTGCTTCGGCTTTGAGATTATAGAAACCATGGCTTTGTCTCAAAGTTTTTCTTGTGAATGGGCCTTTTAGGTAATTCTGGCCCCCACGCCATCACATTGAAGGGTCACAGCCTCGATCCCATCTATGGTGGTCCTGTGTTGTGGAATGACCCGTGTGATCCTTCTCTGCACACCCTCCACTACGCTGGATCAAGCTTCAGCCACTAAAGCGCTGAAGACATGTATGTCTCTCCTAAGTGGCCCGCAGGGCGTAAGATCAACCCACTGTACCCGCTTCCTCTAGATTTTTGGCCCCTTTTGGCCCCTTTGGCCCCCAACATCCTCGCTAAGCATTGCCGATACCCCAAACAACCCGGGGCAATAAGCCATCCTCCAGCAGCACTCTAGATCGGTGGGACCATCAAACTCATGTAGTATGGCGCTCGGTTTGAAAGAGGGAGAATGAAGAGACGTCTATAAATCGCGACACAGCCCCTCTGTGTTGCCCTCACGATCCATTGTCCCCAATCATTCAAGAAACCTCTTCATTCCAAGTCAATCTACAACTACTTTTCTCAATTGTCCGACCGACAACAAGAGATACAACCGCAAAAATGAAGTCAACCCAGCTCATCCCATACCTCCTCCTTCCCCTCGTCCCCACCCTCACCCTCGCCGATAGTGTTCCCTCGGGCGCCAAGCTCTGCGTAGGCCAAGGTGCCGGCAGCTGCCAATTCGCCGCGTACCAGCTCCAACCTACCGACACGTGCGAAGACCTTCAAAAGAACGCCGCCTATATCTACGACCACGAATGCAACCTCATCGGCCACACGGAGAACTTCGCGGAAGGAGACGCCATTGACTCGCAGCTGCCGTATACTGTCGATGTCAAGAACATTGTTGGCGGTCCCTCATGTGCGATCAAGTACGAAATTGCCTACAGTGATGGGTTGTACGGATACGGAATGCCCTCTGGTGGTGTTTGGGGCAGCTGTTCTGAGAGTGGCCACCAGTGCAACTGGTACCGGGTGGCTTTTGATTGCCCTGGATTCTAGAGAAATTTGGGTTTGATCTCGTGGGGTGGGATAAGGACAGCCCGCCTAGTCTGGACTGTTCAGTTTTCTTGTTTAATTGTATATAATGTCCATGCAATCCCAGGAGTCGAGCGAACCTTGAATCACTGCTGATACCAGCGTCGGCTAAAGTAACCTTTCGTCAATAATCAACGGAATATGCTAGTCAATTCACTCAATGTTCCTAGTGACCTCGAGATATCTTTCCAAACTGACACCTCCTACGAACGACTCTATGATGTCTCATTTCTTTTCGTATCAATGAGATGATTCTCTTTCAAGGTACCAAGGACCCCACCACAGGGCCTTGAGATAGGCACGTGTTGCTGTTTTCCCCACTCATATTCAATCCCGCCTCCTCCTTATTCCAATATCACCTCCATCGACTTAGACACTACTCTCATAATGTGGGAGCCGCTAGCTCTTCCCTTCCAGAGCTCCCAACCTTCTCCTACCCCTCTGCCTACAATAAACAAAATCCGCGCTTGCACCAATGTTCTGTGGGAGGCCAGGAGTCTAGGGTTGTAGCAGTGAACAACAACAATCTTGTAATAAATTTGGAGTTCGTGTGGAAATCTGGAAAGGCCAAGCTTTGATGTATCTTGAACAACATGCTCTAGAGGTTCCAGTTCCTCGCTTATATGCAATGTACTATGATTCTCACGGGCTTTTTCCTGTTGCATCGTTGAATATCATAAACTCTCGGTACCAGGCAGTGACAGCGATCCTCTGTCCAAGAACACCAACGAAAGGGCTGATTGTTGGTCAGGCTTCGTAAAAGCCTATATCTTAATGGTAGTGGGGACTTACAAGATCAGACTTCCTATCCCGCCAAAAGCCTCTGCAAGCAGGGCAGCGCGCACAAGAATCCTATCGAAGTATCCTATTCCGGTATACCAGCGTCTTCTTTGCTCCCAAAGGTCTATAAATGTACACGGTGGCTGTTCACGCACTATGGCATGAAGCTAGTCAAATTTAAAGCCTTGCGCTGCAGCCTGGAAAGGCAACCGGTGCTATTAGTAGATGTTCTCGATGGCTTGTTAGGAAGAGGTAGATAGCCAACTTACATGGTACGCAAACCAGTAGTCTTCGCACACATTTTCCGTATCCCAGGTAACTTTATTCTCAACTGCTCCGTTGATCAAGATCCATGACACATGGGCCCAGCCTATGAGGGGGCGGCGAAATAGCCGCACGAGCAGTTAACACTAGCCAGAGCTATTCACTCAAGATTGGAATATGCCGCAGATCCCTGCAGCTATGGGGCATATGTGTTTTGGCACAAGGGTCTGGGAAAGACGGAAAGAAAATGGGTGGTAAAGCCAATATCTGGAAAGTTTATACAGGAGATATTCAGGAAGAACCTGAAGTGAGAATTGAAAGGGATGTATGTAGTTTGAGTGCCTAAAGCGCATAAAACATTGAGTACAGTTGAAAGAAAGTAAAAACCCAGCTCGACTGCCTCGATCAATTATCCCCACCTTGAATCACAACAACAAGCCCAGCAATGGCATCCCATCAACTTGCCATTGCCAAGGCCTCCTTCTCTGCAGGTCTCCTGCGTCCAGACCCGACGTCCGTCGCGCGCGACGTAATCAAAGCCTTCCACGCCAACCAAGTCCGGGCGCTATCGCATTGCCCACCCACAAGCTTAGTTTTACCCCCTACTGGTAGGAAAGGGTATAGGAGGTGGTAGTAAACTTCGCCTGCTGACCATCAAAAGGCTCAGTGCCGGCACCGATGCTCAGGAAGTACTGATCATTAGGAAAGCTCTGCTTAGAGACGAGGTAGGTGAAAAACTCAGCCAAATTGCCAGAGTAATCCTTGAGCTCAGTGGGAGCGACAAAGCTGAAGACGGTAGTTGCGGCGTTGGTGCCCTTGTAGAGCTTCCACTGGGTACCGCCAATAGTAGGATTATCGATCTCCTTGCCGGTCTGAGAAATGGGGCCAGCACCGCCCAGAGCAGCGGTCCAGATCATGATTTCGTATGCGGCGTCACCACCTGCGGTGGGAGCAGTGAAAATGTCGTAAGCAACGTCGGCGACGATGCCCTGTCCATCATAACTGTTGACATGATTAGTGATGATCTTTAGATAGCTACTTTACCGGAATACTTACGACCACTTCCAAGACGTGTTGATGGTCTTTAAGTCAGAGACCTTCTTGTTGGTAGGCCGCGACTCAACATTGGGGTAGCTCTTCACCTTGCCTTGGCCGCCGGACCAGGTCCAGGTAGCATGCCAGGCAATGTCGCTAGTATTGGGTGCAGAGTCCACACCAATACACTGGGAACCAGAACCGCTATCCTTACCCCACATATTGTTATACAGCTTGAAAGATCCCAGTTCGATGCTATCATACTGTCCGCAAGACTCAGCGCGCTTGTGGTGGTGAACAGGGGTCCAGGTGGCAGACACAGCTGCAGCACCAAGAGCAGCGAGGAAAAAAGAGGACTTCATTGTGATTGTGTAGAAGTACGGAGAGAAATAGGAGACCCAGTGTTTATGCAGAAATTGAGTGTGTGACTTGTTAGAGAACGGAAGTAGGGGGATGATGCATCTTTTTATAGCTGCGTTTGAATCTACATTGTATCTAGTCGATCCAAAGGTTTCCAAATACTAATCAACAACTTCCGAGCGCTACTTACGCTGATGCTTACAACACGAAACTCGGTTCTGGCGGGTGGGGATATGAGCAGCTCAGGTATGTTCCGAATATTGTCCGAAATTTGTATATCCCAAAACAGACAACGATCACCCGGACGTTTGATTTCATTGAACGGGAAATGTAAATGTAAGACATGGCCAGTTGATTACAACTATCTCGGGAATCCGTTCGCCAGATGACCATGATCATCTATAAAACTCTAGCCACCAGTGTCTCCGAACGTTAGCCGGCTAATCTGAACTACAAAATGACAGCCGGAGTGGAAAGGGCTTCCTTAATTTGCTTTTAAATGTATCGAGGCTACAAAATTCGATAATAACTTCGGATACCATAGGGGTTTTCCTTTCTCATCATTCCTTAAACCTCTTTTCAATACCAAAAATGATACTTCATGGTTTGAAATGCACATACAATGAAGATATACTTCCGCATGATGCATACAAGCCTTGCGAATTTAGCCTATGCCGACAACGATGCACGCACCACATTTAGGCTATTTTCTTACATCAAAGTTAATCTAATAGACGTCTCTGTGGGTTTCGGACCATTCAAAAATAGTACATCTCACTGCCGATCCGGCACGGCTCATCACACGGGAAGTTCAGGTCTCAACTCAGATCCCGCTGTGTTACACATGGGATAGCAAATTCTTGTGTGATCTGGTCTCTGTGGGGATCCCGAACTTTTTCTTTTTTCTTACACTTCTTTCCATTATCTTTCTGACCACTAAAAGACGAGAGTAGAGTTTATACCACTTTCAGGATGACTTAGAGATCATCCCTTGTAGCTAGAAGAGAGCATCGTCAGGTAGCATCTCCATCTTTCTGGCCCCGTACTAACCAGGGGCGGCGGTTCAACTACCAAGGCCCTAGACCGCCCGACTAACTGGTATGCACGTTAATTCATCCGTCTTAAGTAACGATATTGTGATTACTATCGTACTAATATCCACAGATGTTTTCACCTGCCTCGGTCTCCGTTGTTTTGCCCGCTGTGTATGTTTCTGAAGGTGCCACTCTGGCAATTCTAATAGATGGACACGCCACCGAGGAAAATGCGCTATATAGTCTACAGCCGACAAGTCAGGGTGTTGAGATTACAGAGAAGGCATGGCATCGTTACACTTGACTTGGTGAACAAGTTATGGGTATTATTATGACATCTTAAAAAGTAACACATCATTCATCCATCCGCCACTCGTAATCCAAAGTTTCCAGACGGCTCGTCCGATTCCTGGCTGCGAACCATTCCTTCTCAGAGCCGTTACTCCGGTCAACCCGGTCCCATCGCTGGCCGGATCTAATGCCATTCCGATACGGCTGAAATGCCTCTTTGTAAAACAGTTTGCCGGTAGTAGTTTTTCCTGGACCTCAGTTCGTCAAAAATTGAGCAGCCGGATTGTTCCACCGTTCTCGCGCCCTCAACCCGTCATTCATATCTTCAACCTCAACGGTCCAAGCTACTGGCATGAGCTTAGCCTCCTCCAATTGCAGTTGGTTTTCTCCTATCCCTGTCGTTGGACGTCGCCCATGAGTGCCTCCTTCGCCTGTGCTTCCTCGCGTTTCTCTTCCTCCGCTCGGCGCACTTCGGCACGTTTCATCGCCACATTATTAATACGACCAGACATATCACGATGGATTGTTTCCTGCACTTGCTCCCCAGCCGGACTCTCCTTGTACGTCGAAGCCTCGGCTTTCTTCCGTCGTTCCTGTGCCGCAACCATGGCGGCAGTCTGCGTGGCAGTCTGTAAACCTGCCCGACACCCGACTCCATCCCATGCATCGTCTTCTTCTTCACCCTCAATAGCAGGTGCATCTTCATTGTCTCCCTCGTTTCTTCGTGTCGCATTTTCCGCGGCAGCGGAGTCGATAATGGCGTCCGCAGCTTCCTGCTCGTTAATCGCACCAGCTAGTCTTCCAGTCACTCTTCTTGGGGCGTCAAAATCCCCCACCACACGCATGTTACTACTGCTGGGCGACCTTCGTCATCATTCATCATATTGGTCGCAGAGATCTTCAGTTCCAGCGGATCGTCATCGGTGATTATTGGGCCGTCAGCGGCGGTATCAACTTGCTTAGTCTTCTTGCGCTTCTTCTTCGGTCGCTCGGTGGCCGAATCAGCCGTTAGATAATCTTTTTGCGAAATATTCGGTGAGTGAGGATGATGGCATTGAGACTATGGTTTGGTGGTAATCGGAGTGATTTGCAGTGATGTTATGTGGATCAAACGTTAGTTTGTAAAGTTTATCGAGGTTTCCGATAAGTCGGACAATCGTTCAGCCGAGTTTCTCGGGCTTTGCAAATACCGTTCTTTTAGTCTCGTTTCCTGGAAAGGCTATGGTAGTCTGCTAAGACTTCATCTTTGGTCTAGGTGCACGAGCCAATATTCGGAGAATGTTCGGAGCCATGTGGCTGAGTCCAAGGAAATGCCCACTGCATGTATTTGGGCCCCGGCCTCCCGCACTCACATCGGCCCAGCACGCCGAGAATCTTCTCAGGCTATTGTTTTGATTAATCACATCCATCCTATGTAGCATTCTGTCATACACACGATAATCGATTAATGCAAGAACTCCGTTATCGGTGATTTGTCGATACCGCATTTAAATATCGCATTTGTGCTTGTAGGGCTACGTAGGCAGACCTTATTAACCTCCTCACCTCAGCCAAAAATTCAATGCTGATGAATACTGATTCGGCAATGGCGTTTTTCCTCGCGACGGAGGTTGCAGGTTTCGACTGCGAGGGCGGTCACTAGGGATAATGTGGGAGGACGCTGAACATCTAATCCTATAACTGAGAACCACGCGTGCATCGGCCTACCGGGTGGTCTATATGGCTGCTTTGGGTACTACTGGAGTGAGCACTGCGAGTGCTTCACGAACCGTGCTTTAAACTAGAGTGTCTCTTCTACGGCCGACTACAAGCTATTCAATTTTTTTTTTTTTAATTTTTTTTTTTTTTTTCTTTTTCTTTCTTCGTTACCGAGAACACTCGGTGCCTCATCTAATGTGATGTTAAAATAGCAGTAGGTATTCATTATCGCTTTGCTGTAGATCAGTCAATGCCTTGCTTGCTTCCTTACTATAATTCAACTGATGTCTCCTCACTATTCCCAGATCTTACACAGCATGCGAATGATAAGTGTCCCAGAAATCATCCGACACCTATGACAGCCTACTGCTCTAGTCGGCCAATATCTTGGTTCTCAGGATTAGCTACTTCAAATACTGGAAAGGTACTATCGTGAACCCGTGTGCTAAGTGATGCCAGACGTGCGTTCGAGCGATCCCAGTCCCGCAATTTCAACACACGTTGACTCGGCATTGCCTTGAGACATAGTGAAATTATACTCTCACATAAAAATAAAGAGAGGCAAGCAAACAAAAGAGCCATAAAAATGGCAAAAACATACAACAGAAGGGATTCGCTGGTGGTCACCCACCCAACTACTAACCTCCCGGCGTGTGGCTTAAGTACGGCTGAGCGGACGGGAAGCCCTGTTTTCCACACCCTGTGGTCGTATGTACTAGATCTTTCTCTGACTAGCATGATATAGTGCACATTCATTCGCTTAATTGCGAAAAGGGAATGGTGCATTCCAACCCTCTTCGTACTCGAACGCCAGAACCTTTAAGATGTTGTGGCACGTGATCATTCATATATACGAGGACAACGACCTTACGTCAGCCACGATAGGGTTCTAGTTCATCAACGACTTGTTAGGTCGATAGTTTTATGTTGTGTTTGTATAGCATTTGTCTTCATAGTGGACTCAATTTGAGGGTTACTAAAGCGTATGCTTTGCTATAGCAGTACGTGAAAGGGCATTAGATTTCGCACTATTCATTAGCAGTTGGTCCGAGAGACTCGGCTTCAATCACTGGTGTATAATATTGAGATACGGTGAATATATATAGCACGTGCAGCAGGATGAACATGACACTACTGATGAATTGGTAGCACGACAAAGTTCGGAGCGAGGTAAACTTATAGAGTACAAGCTCTTTTGTTCTAATAACGAGTGTAGCATTACAAAGAAGATCTGTTGTGTCAATTTCTCCAGCATAGTAAATACACAGTACGAACACCCTCCACGTCATACATTGAACAGATATAGCTGGAACATAAATAAAAAATCACATTCCAATCTGGTATCTACTAATCTGTCTGTATATATGCATATATACTGGTATCTATTTTTACTCCTCGCTAGGCTTAACATCATACTCCACATCCGTCCGAATGATATACTTCGCTCCCTTCCGTACCCCTGTTCCCTCATGCAACAAAGCCCCGTTCGCCTCTCCGTGAGGGAAAATGGCAACGGCTCCCATGACAGGACGCACGGGGTATGCATTTAGTGTCCCTTCCCTCGCGGCCGGCATGAAGAAAGTCGTCTCACCGCCCTCGAACTCATCATTGAGATAGAGGAGGAAGGTATACATGGAGCTCTGCTTCTTGTCCTCCGGCGAGGCATCGTACACATATGTATCATCGGGAAGGATACCCGACGGCGGCCAAGCGCCGTCAATGTGGCACCGATACTCGGCACCAGGGACGTATCGGTATACCCGGAAACGACGGTTGATACCGCGAACGAGACGACCGTTGATAGATTGCGGGACGTACTTGGATATACGTGCCCAGAGCATGTCATGGAATGTGGTGTCGATCACCCAGTAGAAGTTGTGGGCGAGGATGCTCATGTCGCCGTCTTCGCGCATGGGGACGTCGGGCAGGAAGTTAACGGATTCGCCGGCGGCGATAATGGCTTTGCATTCTGACGGGGTGAGGACATTCATAGCCAGTCCGAGGCCTGGGACTGCGGGGTGGGGGTGGTATGTGATCGATGGGCTAACGGGGTCCAGCGGGACGGCGTTGGGACGTGTAGTATAGAGGATAGCGGGGTGATGGTTCGGAGGTTTGCGGAGGGGGCCAGGCGTCGTTTCGATAATACGAATGGCAGCGGGGTTTTTCGGAGCTTCGTTCAGGATCGATTTATCGAGGACGGAGGCATATACTTGGAGGGGTGTGGTATTGGGACGGAGGTCCCAGATGGACTGGAAGGCGATGGGATCCGTAGAGTCAACTGCATTCGACCTGAGGTCGATGGGAGTGCTGACACGTAGGATGGCATCCAGAACGCCGAGTAGTTCCAGGTCCTGAGGCGTGCGCTCGAGGGTAGCCTTCTCGCGGGCTTCGGGTTGGGTGGAGAGGCCGCTGACGACGTCGAGATCTCGTACCCAGCGACACAAGGCTCCGATCTTGGGCTGCTCACCCCGGATTCTCATCTCGGCAAGCAGGATCTTTGCTTCCAGGTATCGTTTGTCGGCCAGGGCGCCGGTAATTCGTGCGGTCAGGTTCGCGCCCTCTACCGAACGATTAATTGCCACTATTGATTAGAGACAGTGTAACAGTAGCATACCGGCATTGTTAACGCCCGTAGTACAGGCCTGGCGGAACTCGTAGACCGCCACCCGGAGATCCTTGCATGCTTTCGACTTGGTCAGACTGGGGTACTGGGTCAAGGTCGCGAGCGTCTCAACGGTGATTTCGAGGTCCTCGTCGGGGACGACGGTGCTGAGGTTTTTCGGCTCTCGACTGGCGCCATCGGGAGGGGGAGTGAGGACCGTCGATGCAGCCTTGGGGACCTTTTGCGGGAGATCGGCTTGGGCGTTGCGCTTGCGCTTGGCGGCTTTTGACTTGGCCATCGTTATCGGTGATGCTGATGGCCAGCTGGGGGGACAATGGCTGCTGATAACTGACGGATAACCGGTGGGGATGCGGATTTCCCACAACTATTTTTGCGGCAAGTCGAGAACCCCGATTATTAAGCCTGGCCGACCCGCCGTGGATTCTGGCACTGGCACTGGCACTACTAGGGAATGACATGCAGGAAGTGGACAATCCAGCAAGAATTACAGTTATATCCAAGGGGTCTGAAGATGGCCAGAAGGGATAGGCTACTGTGAAAGAACAAGGGGCGGCACCGCTCTACAATCACGAGTGCAATGGTTTCAAAACTGGGGTTGATTCACAATGCCGGGAAGTGCTGCCTGGCGAAAGGTCTGGACGACACCTTCTATCCCAATGTCTATTCCTGAGATAGAGAAAGCACCGTGCTCTGCTGCTCCGTCCGGAGATATAAGGTAGTCCCCGGAAACGGTCGCAGCAGCCAGTCCACCGGATAGAACACGCAAAGTCTCTGGGGGTGCCGAATTGAAGTAGGTAGAGGAAATTGAATTTTTCGTTTTTCATTCATCAGAATACATCATGTTTTATAGATATATCCCGACTGTAGGCAAGATCCCATATTGTTCGCGTCTTCCGGAACTCCCGCGTTATCACTGCCATTTGCCAGATATGAACTAAACCTCACAAAAATCCCCCGATTTAAGCGGACTTGGCCTTGGCGGCCTCACGACCCTTGCCAACACGCTCAAGGATGGCCTCACGGTCCTTGTCGAGGTGGAGCTTCTTGATGACGACCTTGGAGGGGTGGAGGGGGATGGGGACGCTCTGGCCGTTGCTCTTGTCGCGGCTGATGCGCTCGACGTGGATGGCCCACTTCAGGCGGTAGACGCTGGTGACCTTGCCCTCACGGCCCTTGTTGCTGCCACGGACGACCATGACCTTATTCTCAGTTTAGCGAGTGGATTAGATGTCGGGTTAGAATCAGCCTTGGCTCACCTCGTCGTCCTTGCGGATGGGCATGGAGCGGACCTATCAAACGACTTGCGTTAGAACCATATTCTCCCAGCGTTGTTTCGTCATGCCTGATGTCTCGGATTGGATGCTTGTCGATTGGATCTGGTTTTTGTATCTTCCTGCCAAATCCCCAACTCGCTGGCCTGATCCAACCTGTCCCCGACCGGAAAGAAAGAAACCATGCCAAATCCATCTCCGCACACACACAAAATCCCAGGGGCTGCAAAAAAACAGGAATCACATCGGTCTGATCGAACGTACATTGTACTTGGCGCGGAGCTCGCTCGAGAGAGGAGCAGAGAGGATAACGCGGCGCTCGCTGGAGGGGGCGTTGAAGTGGGCGGCGCGCGACTTGCGGCGAGAAGAGGCGAGACCTGAAATCATCACGAAGTTCAAATTAGTATGGATTGGATTGGCGAGATCGAGAAAAATCGACAGAACAGGACGACGCACTGGAGTTCCTGACAGCCATTGTGAATATGCCACCTAAAGGTCGTGGGAGAACTCGGACGGGTGTCGTGAGGGTCGTCGGAAAGGTCGTCAGGAAGAGTCTTACTGCTTTGCTGGATCTGTTTCGTTTGTGGCCGAAAATTCGGGCTGTGCGTCACATGACCCCCCGCTTCGCCTAGCGGCCAGGTCCAGCGTTGTGATTGGCTAGCGTGGGTTTCCGCCCGCAGCCATTCTCGATGCTGACTGGAGCCCGGCTCGATTGCTCCTTAATTCAGAGGGTACATTACTAGGAGTATTGATTATTGTAGGTGGTAGGAGGAGATACTAATTGATGGAACGGCTAAGAATAGTTACCATGTATACTGCACTCTACATAGATTATGATGTCTAGAATTTCTAGTGGAGTATCGTCTTTTTAGCTAATTATATGACCTTGGAAATATTTCTAATAAATTGTTGTATGCTTTGTATCCATTCTTTGAACTTATGCAGGGGCATTTAAAGGCGCTCCCCGCGGGAGGAACTGGTTATACTCCCTACCCGATTAGGACAGGTAATAGGGCTGCCCCGGAGTTGATATACCACCTTGGTCTGTTCTTCTCCAGAAAAGACATGATTTAGTGGTGAAAGTTATCCAAGTTATTTCACTTCGAAATATGTAGTAAGTTTGCTTATTCTCAAGATAAAAGCCCAAATCTTCATTCATCATGCTGGTTGATATCCTGATCGCGAGGCTCCTGACCGTGGAACTATATATAATGGGTCCTAGTATACAAACTGACTCTAATCACCCACTTCTGATCATCCATCAATCGGTTCATCACCATTGATATTCACGTTCCGGATTTAGCGACACTAGCACTGCTACCCTTCACTCTCCTACTGAAAATCCTTAATTGGTTTGTTGAATCCCCATGAGAAGGCATATCGAATCCCTCATGATCACCTCACACGAGGCTACGATAAGATACGACGAGATGGTTGAACACGTGACACCGCGCTCCATTATCTCATATCATAATGCTCACAATACCTATACTCAAGTAAATTTAGATAATCTGTGCGATAAGACATCGTCATCGATACTTTCCATATCAACAACTCCATGTCAGTCGGCTTTATATGCACCTCCTAAAGCGGTTAGTGGCATTTGTTATCGGCCTGCGCCTTATCTACCCCTAGATTACCCGAGCAATATGAGAACGGTTGCCACCACTATCACCATTAAGCAGACATATTGTCTCGCGGAACTGAAGAGCAAAACAGTATATTATTATCATTATTAGTTACTATTTTTATATACCACCATAACAAGAAAACCACCAAAGCAAATCCGAACACCCATGATCAAGAGAAGAAATCGATCGGTCGAAGTCTAACCAACCACCATTCTACTTCGCCGTAAATCTACTCCTCGCCCTCAGCGTCGCCCCAAACCGATACAGCGCAAACATGCCCGCAATACAACCCACCGTCAATCCCGCTAGCAGACTAATTCCAGGACCAACCCCCAGATTGACATACAGGGGACGCGCAAACAGCACCGCACCACAAGCCAGCGCACTGCGCATGAGGTCATTCCCTGCAAACAGACTCGCTGCGTACTGTGGGTACGTCATAGGGATGTAGATGAAGATGCACTGAATCACCACGTAGATGCCGATCGTGTAGATCAGGATACCGATTACTGAGACGATCCAGTGCACTGAGGCGCGGGAAGTCCATCCGAAGAGGAATAATCCGATCGGAGGCAGAAAGCAGGCGAAGAGGGCGGGGATGAGGCGTCGTTCTGGGGATTGGAGACCCTGGGTTCGGATCTCGGGCTCGAAGATCTTGTTCAGGTAGATGAAGTAGGCGGGGACGGCGATGGCGAGGGCCACTGCAATGCTAAGGAAGACGAGGCCCATCTGGCCGAGGTTGAAGTGGTACATCTCAATGTAGACGATGGGGAAGACTTCGAAGAACGAGTAGTAGATGCCGTAGATGAGACTGGTGTAGATGTTGACGAAAAAGATTGCGGGATCGAGAACCACGATTTGCAGGGGCCGGTAGAGTGCTTCCATGGCCACTGCGGTGAAGGTGAGCTTCTTCTGGTTGATTTCCGACTGGGAGAGAAGTTTGTCGTTGCCGGTCAGTCGGCGAAGGCGTCGCGCGCGCTGGAGGAGGATGGCGTCGGGGAAGGTCTCGGGGAGGAAGAAGAACATCACCACTAGGATTGGTGAAGACATCCAGACCGTCTCCCATAGTGACCAGCGCCAGCCCTCGACGGGGACACTGAAGCCGGAGATGACGGGTCCCAGGGCAGGGCCCAGAGTGGCAAAGGCAGCCCATGCGGAGAGACCGTATGGTAGCTTTAGGAGACTGAATACATCGCCGATACTGGCACCACCGGTCGCAAGGCATGGGCTGCCGAAGAAACCTTGAAGAAATCGGAGCACGAGGAGACCTCCGAATGTGTTGACCACCGCAGCACCAATGCTGAAAAGGATGAAGAGGAGGAAGGTGATGATGTATGGAGGGTTGCGTCCGACACTGGGGATCTCGCTAAGCGGGGAGAAGATCATCGGGCCGATGCCGTACCCAAGAACGTACAAAGCCAGGCCTAACGATGCGGCTGTCGAGGAAACTCCGAAACGTTCTTGGATTTGAGTCGCGCTAGGAGTGTAAATGGACGAGCCCATGTAGACGACCAATGTGTAGAGATAGATCTGAGAGACGACAACGAGCTTTTTGGTAGTGGTCCAGTTCTGGGGATTCTCAGGATCGCGCGTGGTATACCAATCGACCAGGATTGTACCATCAGCAGTTTTGGTGGGTGCGATAGGTCGGCTAGGAGCTTTCTGCAGTGCTTCTGTTTGTGTGGCAGCCGTATAGATACGTGCCAAGTCCGTTTGGGTCTGGACCTTTTCCACGTCCGCCATAGAAGGCACACGGGTCAGATCAGTTGTGTCCAGCGTTTCTCCGTCTGGAGTCTCGGATCGAGAGGGTTTCTCTGTTGTATCTTCGCGTTGTTCATCCTCCGCGTCGGATTCGGGCTTCGGAGACGGCTCGCCATCCCCTTCATGAGCGAACAGTGTCGGGGAGGCGGCTCTGTCGGCGTAGCAATGAGGGCATTGGAAGTCCGGACGTTCCTCAGGGTGCAGTAGAACTTTATTCCTGGTTATCCAGCGCAGCAGTTGGCCAGCTGTACTATTGCGGATGAGGCCTTCCATTGGTCAGAAGACTGTGTGCTTTCCTTTCTACTGAGTAGATGAGAAATAGAGGAGCTTGACTGATGCGAGAATGCATTATTCCATGAGCGCCATCTTCGTGGATTTATACCTATCGTGAAGCTATGCTGGTATACTTCTTCGGATTATTCAGCTCTCAAACAAAGGCACCTTTTTGCTTCCATGGATGAAGGAAGCGGCCATTATTCAGCCACCAGGTGTCGTGCTGCATTGGAGGTGGTTGCGATAAGATGTCGATGATTACTGATCGGAAACGAAGCCACGCCATCATCGACAGCTCTAGATACGAGAAGATGCAACATGAGCTGGACTCGTGTTTTCCATCGCATTCGGTTGGCTGGCTTGGTAAGCGTATCTTAGAGTTTTAGCAGCCCATGGAAAATCACGTCAGCCCTAGTAGCGTGGGAAAAAAGCATTGGCAATCTGACTTAGATTTCAACCGTGCACCAAGCGCAGAAAATGATCTGTGCAGTTTTCGGGCATTAATAATGACCTGTCAGTTTTAGATTTCGCAAGATTACCGCGAGGAAAGCTCGGGGATCTGCCATGTCAACACGCATACTCGGGTGGAGAGCCTCCCATCTCCACTGACTGGACTACTCAAAAAACTTATCTCTTCGGAATGATCCCCACACAGCGCATGGGAATTTGAGGCTCATCTCCTACAGCAGTAGTGAGCAAGATTGATTTGACGTGTCGCGGCTACACAGGCTAGATGATTACCGCTTATCAGCCTCATCCTTTCTATCCCGAAGGTAATTCCGACATCAAAGGCCCGAGAAAAACATCAAATCGATTGCCCTCTGTCAAGCATCTTACGGAATTGCTTCTCTCGAGAATCTCATGATGAAGGTGACAATTTCTGTAAACTGGTGGACCGGACATGGTCAAATCCTCTTGTGACGGTCGCTGTGGCTAAAAAGTGGCCAGATGGATGTTTATAACCAGAAAAGAGAACTTATATGAAACTGAATTCAAACCGGGCAATTCACTGCCAATATCATTCTGATTAAATCGACTTCGTCGGACACAATCGGCGGGCCATCCATCCGTGTCAGCCTGAGGCAAGATGATTAATGTCGCTGCTGGCCAATCAGAGCCATGGAATGTTGCCGAACCGCCGATCCACTCGGGGTGATTTTACCCGCGGATTAGATTGAGCTTCACCGTGACTTGTATAAGCCCGAGTTGAGTGAGCATTGCTCCCTTAATCATCACCATCATCAATAATCTGTATGTATCGGAGACTTTTCTGCACTCCTCATATTATGCGTGATGTACAGAATATGGCCGAAGGTATTTATTACCTTGCGACCACTGCCCGCCATCATGTTAGGCTCAAGCAAATTCATTCCATCTTCTGCCTCGTTGCAACCTGGATTCCAAGCACCCGTGTAACACTATGGCAACTTTGCGTCAGTATACCAGCCTCCGAGACACCGTGAGGGCGGACATAGCCAGGTTCCACCCCTGCTCCGACAGCTCCTCGGGCATATCGACCCCGGAAGAGAAGGCATCTGCCCTTATCCCTGGGGTGCAAATCTCTCGTCCAGACGAACAAGATGGTTCTGTTACCTTTCTGGTTGGCTGGAAAGACGGTGACCTTCACAATCCTCAGAACTGGAGCCGCCCCAAGAAATGGTTTTGCACGGTAGCAACCTGTCTAATCGCCTTGGCCATCACCATCCCCGGTACCATAGACGCCCCAGTCTCCGATGCCTTTAATGAACACTATGGCGTGGGTGCAATTGCGGGGTCCATGACCACTGGTAAGTTGACATTACGAACGCTAAAGAATGCCAAACTGATTGGGTTTCCCTGAGCAGGTATGTATCTAATTGGTGTGGGCTTTGGCTCGCTGTTTGTCGGTCCTATTTCGGAAACCTTTGGCCGCAATTTTGTCTACTTCACCAATTTGGCTATTTTTATGCTCTTCGTCATGGGAAAGGCACTAGCTCCTAACTATGGAGCTGCCATTGTCTTTCGTTTCTTAACCGGTTTCTTTGGTGCCGCTCCGATGACCGTTGCGGGTGGCACGGTGGGTGATCTGTGGAACCCTCTCGAGCTCACGTTTAGCCTACCGTTTGTAACTTTGGCGTCGTACTCTGGGCCTATCCTTGGTCCTATAATTGGCGCTTACATTCCAGGATCCACATTCAAATGGGTCGACTGGATCTCCCTCATCATCGCCGGAGCAGTCTTCATATTTGTGGCCATATTTCAGCCGGAAACCTACGGCCCGTTGCTACTGCAATGGAGAGCCAAACATCTTCGAGATCAGACAGGAGATTCTCGCTACCAGGTCGATGAGTATGCATCTGCTAGCTCTCTTGGTCGTCGTCTTCTTGTCAATGTCTACCGTCCTTTTCAGATGACCTATACTGAGCCGATCATCCTGGTTTTCTCCTTCTACCTGGTCCTCTTATACATTGTATTGTTCACCTTTCTGAATGGATTTCCCTTCATCTTCACCAACACTTACGGCATCTCCACCTCTCTCACCTACGTCATCTTCGTGTCCATGCTTGCGGGAGACGCCGTTGCCCTCGTGCTCATACCGATCCTCTATCGTTGGACCAAGCAGGCGGCGGCTAAGGCTGCGGCCGAAGGAAAAGCCCTACAGGCGGAGGTATCACTCTATTGGGCAATGGTTGGGGGCTCGATTTTGATGCCAATCTCCTTGTTCTGGATGGGATGGACCTGCCATGTAAGTCGTCACTGGCTCGTTCTGCGAAACCCCAACATTACTGACAGAAGGACACAGCCCGGTGTCAGCATCTGGTCACCAATCATCAGCACGTTCGTTTTCGGCTACTCTCTCGTCACCATCTTCACGGCGACATACCTCTACATCTGTTTCGTGTACACGACCTATGCCGGTTCCGCCCTCGCCTTCGTGTCGTTCAGCCGCTATGTTATCTCGGGCGCATTACTGCCCGCATCTGTGCCGATGTACCAACATATGACTCCGCACTGGGTGCTCACCATGGTGGGTATCTTGGCTACCATAATGGCTCCTGTGCCATTCTTACTCTACCGCTATGGTCACCGAATTCGGGCCATGAGTAAGCACGTTCAGAATAAGGCTTGAGCTACTGGCGCTGTGCCATTACACAGATGACCAGCATCTAGAGAGAGGTGCCGTTAGACATAGAGTATATGGTATACTGTATAGATTCTTTCTTAATGAGGTTTTCTAATTTTTTGTGGATCTGGAGCCTAACTAGAGCAGATATGTGACTAATCCTAGATTTGGAGGTTATGCGATTGTTTGTAATGATAATGACGGTTCAAGACGCTTTTCCATCCCTCTAAGAACTTGGGATCACAATACAACACAGACTAGTCACTACTTCGCAGCCTTGGACTACTTCAGAGCCCGCTTATCTGTCTCATATTGCAGATAGATGCCTGATATTAAAGGCGCTAGCGTCATCCACTAGCGCCTGGGCACGCCGCCCTCCTTCGCGCTTTCTCACTCTCTCACTCAATTATTCAATCTCACTGACTTTCCTAATGTCTCCCATTCACTTGCTTCGGTACCCTACGTGATTGCAGACTCTTTTGCGCCGTGAGAAGCAACGCTTTTTGGAGCGCGTTGCAGCCGGTCAATGGCCTCGACTGACCGCAGTACAGCTGCGGAGTCGAGCGACGCCTGGGATAATTCCCCGCAGCACGACACCTATGCCGCTCCTTACGGTCGCTCCTGCGTAGACTGCTCACAGGCCAAGTGCAAGTGCATCTACTCCAAAGCCAGCGGGAAATGTCAGAGGTGCGTATGTTGCTTACCTGTTTAGTTGCCATCGTAACAGATTCATAGATGCCAACGCCTGGACAAGGAATGCCGCCAGCCTGCTACTACCCGTCGCTCGACCAAACGAAGATCAGCCGTATCTAAGAATATATCGAAGACGAACCGGCTGGAGAATAAGATAGAGGATTTGGTTGCGCTGCTCCGAGCTGGCGTACACCCCGGAAATGCTTCTACAACTTTACTCAGAGAGCTGGCGCAATTACCCGAAAACCAGAAGTCCGCCAGCAGTAATGCTGCGTCGCCACCAGGCCGATCTGACATCTCCATGAGCAGCTCGGGGCTCAACTCAATTGATACACGTCGCACAAATGACACAGAGTCGACGCCAGAAGCTAGCCTGTCGGACGGCGGAGGCTCGTTATCCACCGGCGCATCGGCCGAGCATGCCATGGAGCCGACAGGCATCCAGGCAGAGGAATATTTTACTATATTCCTCACTAAGATGCTACCGTACTTTCCCTGCCTGTATGTCCCGTCAGGCACGACTGCAGAGAAACTTCGTCGTGATAAACCATTTACATGGCTTTGTATCATGGCTATCGCGTCCAAAAGCAGCGCACAACGTCGCATTCTCTTTGATCGCATCAAACACATCGTAGCGCAGAGATTGGTGCATGAATATTCATGCCGAGAACTTGATATGCTACAAGGGCTTTTGTTATATCTTGGATGGTATGTAGTCAGTCATCACGGACACTGCCTGTCGGCTGACATGCGGTGTCAAGGTCCAATCAGCAAGTCTACAACAAAGCCAACATCTATGTATTTGCACAGTTAGCGACGGGGATTGTATACGAAATGGGTCTCTTCAATCCAGAGGCGAAGGGGAAGCACATGCTGCTGTGCGTTCATCCAGAGCCACACGAAAACCGTACAGCACCCCCGCGCCAGGTTATGGAGGAGCGCAGGGCTGTTCTGGGGTGCTTTCTACTGACATCGACGTAATGACTCCCCATGATTCCGTCTAATCACAATAAATGATGTACTAACCTCATTCAGTATCGCGACCTTCCTTCAGCAGAGTGACTCTTTGCGTTGGACACGTCACTTGGAGGACTGTCTTCGCCTTCTTGAAGAGCAGCAAGAGTGTGCCAATGATGGTATTCTTGTGCAGCAAGTTCGACTTCAATTAGCCACGGACGGACTAAGTCTGGGTAGCAGGTATGGAGGTTCATTAGGCGTTGAGTCGATGCGACCGTCGCCTTCCGTTTATCTCCGTCCAATGCAGACGCAGCTGCAGTCACGCCTCCAGGAAATTATGAGCAGACATGGCTGTCACTCCAAAGGATATAGTTAGTCCTCAAGGTTCCACACACTACATACGGTTTCCATGCTCATATTGACTAGAAATCGTTCTTTTACATCATTACAATACGTCGTTGAGCCTTTACGAGTCTGCACTCCCGAAGGGTGCTATTTCATCAACTGTTAATGTGACGTACGAGCACCTCGACTACCTGTACGGTTGCCTCGACGCCACAAAGTCATGGTTCGACGTCTTTTTGAGCATACCGCCTGGAGAATATATTGGTTTCCCATTCGCCGTATTTGCTCAAATGGTCCAAAACCTGGCAACTCTTTTCCAGCTCTCAACTCTGGAGAGTCCGCTTTGGGATACGGCCAATGTTCGACGAACGGCCGATATCTTGAGGATTTTGGACACCATCGTTAGTCACATGAGTCTAGTTTCGACCATAAATGGATTGGATGGAGGTACTGAGGCGGATATCTTCTCCATAATAGCTCAGACATATCATGCTGTCCGCGTGGGGTGGGAAACGAGGCTAAATACTGATCCTATAGGGTCATCTGTGGTCTATCCAGTCCCACCAATCATTGATCAGAATCTTCCCAACATCCCGCCTATGCCGTCGGATGCTTTGCCACTGATGGGAGATAATGACTGGTTAACAGATATGCTGAACACCATGAACCAGACCGAAAATGGATGATCGCATGCCGAAAGTACATGCGCTACAGCGCTGTCTACACTAATGTTACGGCCTACCGCGATGCACGAGTGTCAGAGGTCTCTGATTTATTACCGCCAGAAGGCCGGAACGCGCCAAAAATGAAGATCGTACAATTGTTAAGATTCCCGACGATTGCACGATCCTCATGGTTCGTTGGTTTAACCGTTTTACCTATATCACCTATGTACAACAAGATTGTACGGGACAACACGGATGACAACCCATATGCACTCGCTAAGCAACCAAAGTCACCCTAACCAGCCATTGTCTTCTCCGCACGGCTTCTGCTCACGTTCAGCCTTCTCCGCAATGCTTCCTCAAAGGCGAGACTGATAGACAGTTCCCGGTCATCTTGAGAGTCATCATCATGATGGCGACAGTAAATGCTAGCAAACATCCCCACCAATGTTTGTACTCTATCCAATTCATTCATCACAACCTGGACCACCATTATTCTAGAATGAATTTTGCTCAATTCAAATCCATCAATTTTAAGAGGAGCAAACTCTAGGAATGAGGTGCCCATCTGAGAACTCAAGGTTCCACAGTCTGAAATGATCTTTTCGTACCAACTGAGAATCTTGATAATCGCTTGGGCCACCAACGCGGAGAAATAGGGTGGAGTTATCACGGGGCAATCGCATTCAAGCATCAATGTAAGCTTGTCCATTGCATCGTTATTGAGCCGCAAGACTGTACCAATGTTTACACACTCAGACATGTCCACATCCGGGACAGAATAGTCAAGCGGAAGGTGGAGTTCTTTGAGTGTGTCCAGCATTAAGCTGGTGCAGGATTGATTGTACGCGAAGGAGTTGCTGGGGCTAGGGGAGAATGCGCGGGAGGAACGTAGCAAAGGCGAGACCGGAGTAGTCGACGAAGCCATCTGATAAACTGGCTGTGCAGTTGCCAATGTAAAAGTTAACTGAGGCGTGGTGATGTCAAATGGAAGGTTAAGCTCGTGGTCCAAGAACTGCCAGTCCTCCAGATGTTGACTGTCAGGAGAAATGAGAGTTGACGTAGACGTGACTGTAGTCCCCGAAGAACAGTCGAAATACATGTCTGGTGTCGGTTCAGGATCGTAGAGCGTAGAGAATATGTTCAGGTCTAGACCTGTCGAGCAGGGGAGAGAGATACTAGGCGAGCGATGAGAGAGTCGTGGTCGTCCTTTTGGTCGAGCGAGCCCGTAAGTGCACGCTTGATTCCTCAAGACGCAACGCTCACATCGAGGATGTTGCTTTCCACAGCGCAACTTGGACTTGGCACAAGCGTCGCAGCTGTTACGGGTCTTTCGACTGCTTGTAGTGTTGGAGTTGTCGTCAGACAGACTGGGAGTTGTGGATGGAGGTGAGAGGTTAAGCATCTTGATTTATTCACTTGAATGTTAAAGTGCTATCACTTTCACCTTACTGCCAGACTGTACCCCTAGCAGGGTACTTATATCGATTCCATCTTGCCAACGGCGCACTGAATCTACGAATTCCGTGCATAAAATGAAGCGGACTTGATATCTACGTGGGCGCAAACCCGATGATAGCATGATACAATGTCTAAAAAGCGCGCCCTCAGGGGAAGAAAGTCAATGATTGGTCTTATTCTAATGTTGACAAACCCGCCAAGAACCAAACCCGGGCGGGGGTTCTCCTACAATTGAGGCTACTGTGGATGTCCGGAATCCCCCGGAATCCCGATTGAATCCCGGCGGTCAGTGGGTTTTGGCATGGTTGACCGCTTTGTCAGGTGATTTGGAGGACTATATGTTCACGTGATTGTATACAATATTGATGTCGTTATAGAAATGATAGCTTTAGCGATCATCAGTACTATACACTACGATTCAAGTGTGGAGTGCTTTAGAGACATGAAGGGGTAGATGCTTAATGCTGTCCAGTTAATAATTTCACGAAGATCCCTCAAAGCAGTACATCAATTGCTTATATGCTAAACATGTGTATACAGAACCCAATAATCTACATACTCTAATCATTCACTTCGACCAAGTACTTAGTACAATCAAACCAAGAAAAGAAATATTTGAAATATAAAACCCTCTCATCACGGCGTGATATCTAGACAGCTTGCAAAACAGCCATCCCCAACACCCCCGGCACCAACAAAGCCCTCCCCATCTCTGATAGACCCGTCGGCACCACACCTCCACCACTCGACGTCGCCGTCGTAAACGTCAACGTGGCAGCAGCCGTACCAGTCGAAGCTGCAGGAGTATACGCCGTAATACTAGCCGGCCAATCCCCGACAGCACTCGGCAACGCCGTTCCAGTGCCAATTTCCACAACCTCATCT